ACATGTAGTTGCTGGGGACTTTTGGCAGTGATTACCTACCTGGTACTTCTGCACCTTTTTGGAGAACATTAAACTCAGCCATGTCGGTATGTACATATTTACTGTCCCAGCTTTCTGGCTCAGCTTGGCAATTTTCGCTTATATGGGAACTAATGTGACCCCGGTAAAGTTAAACCCCAAATTTCCAGCACATGCATCCCCACTCACTCCCCCCCCTTCTTTATCCCCTGTGCCCTGTGGTACCAACCAGCCGGCCGACCCTATATTGCACATCTTAAGAAAATCGACAGTGTGTGACCTTACGTAGTAAGGGGAATGTTATTACGACATCATTGTTGATTTCTAACAACCGCTACTACACACAGTCCAATGATATTGCAGATCTTGGCATTCAATATAAAGAAAGAAAAAAAAAAGGAGCACACAGGCATCTTTTTACAAACCGAATATGTAGGTACCACCACCTTATATAGGTCTTTTAGATGCTCCTTCGGGGAGGTACACATATGTAGGTAGCCCTAGTCCATTCGGTACGGCGGTGCTTCTTAGTCGAACATACCTAAGCAGGACAGCGGGAAAAAGACATTGAGCAGTAGACTAGGGCAAAGGAAACGGAGATAAAAATAAATAAATAAATAAATAATTTAGTAGATTAACTCTAAGCTGAACCGTAGGATGTTTTTATCCCGCTTATCACGCCATAAACTGCCATCTCCCATCGGTACCGAGCTGCTGGGCCTCGAATTTGTATATGAGGTTGTATACTTATATGTCCATACTGTGTAAACTACGTTAGATCCATAATGATGAACGCCCTGGTGAGGATCCGAGGGACAAATTGTTAGTCAGGAGCCAATCATCTCACACTATTCGGCTTCGGCTTTTGCTCACATCGCAGAAAGCGGGTAGGCACATCTAGTAATCGTGAACTGTCCAGAAATAGTAGAGCCTAGCTCTAGGTAATGTAACTCTGGCCTGCGAGGTGCAAATGTCTAGTTACGAAGCGGGAATAGCCAAGCTACGATGGGCCTGAAAAGCATCTCCGGTAAGCTCGAAACCGAAGTAAGTCCTCATGTGAGCGAAACTTGCTCTCTGCCAGGTTGAATCACTCTGCATCATGGTGGGATCGGGCGCCCTATCATGGGCTGCCTACGATATTTAGTCAGGTACTTGTCAAACACTGGCATCCTTTCTTTTTCGTTGCGCGGGAACGCGGACATCGACACGATGACATTTTGCGCCGATGCTAAACGTGCATGATAAAGGTGCAGTAGAGAGACCCGGCTAGTGGCCTTTCGAAATTGCGAGGCCGAATGCGGCCGGAAGGCTTGATTAGCAGAAAAGAAGGTGGAGTTCTTAGCAGCGGACATCTCGTTACTTGAGGACGAAGTCGGTGACGAGTCTTGATGTCTATCTAACTTCTAGTGAGAGGGATGAAAATATCACTAATGTCGTGTTAGGTAGGTACTAGCCTCTCAAATCTGAAAGTACCGTCCGCGAATAACGCCTTATTTATTTTATTTCAAGCTCCTCAAGAGAGATTGAAGACATCATGAGGCGCGGGACTAGACGTGTCTTGTGGTCTCTATTCGATCAAAGCGCTGGCGCCATCCTTACACTTGGAAGAAAATATTAGTTCCTCTACATATGATCCGAATATTATATTGGCGTCAAACTCGGTAGGTGAAGTAATAAGCCCCGAGGTCTGTCAGGGCTGATGGTAACCTGATAGATTGGGGGTCCATTAAGTGAGTGCAAAAGCGCAGATCAATTAGAGTAACTAAGCGAAAAGGGAGAAGAAGAAAAAAATAAGTTTCAAGGTTGTGACCGCCGCTTGTCAATGAGAAGTACCTTGGTACCTAGATCCGGGGATACCATGCTGCCCATCAGTGATCATGGATGTCCATTCTATGGGTACCTCAAAAATACAACTCTGGGACGGGTGGATACTATGTCCCTTTTTGGAAAGGCTTATTCGAGACTTGACTCAAGAGATTTCCTTTTTGGCTAGAGCTCCTGTCAAGGTCTCAGGGGTTCTTGAGCGAATCCGGGCAAGTCCCCACAGTAAAGGTGAGCACATCCAGGAACTGCTGGGAAAAAAAAAAGAAAAGAAAGAAAAAAAAAGATGGGGAAAGAAAAAGAATTTTAACACCAACAACATACACGATTACCTACCTATGTATGAGATGTCCTCATTACACTACTTCACAGTTACTACGTACATTAGTTCGTAACTAAGCGTTTACATCTACGTTTCTTTTCGGTTACTGTCTTCAACAGTATTATGTCGACTTGGAGTAATACAGTCATCATGGAATTATTGATACGGTACTATAGTATTACGCTTATTACTACCTACTTTAATACTAACGGGGGTAGACAACTTAAGATTACCTCAAATAGTAACAACTATGAATTATGTTTCCCCTCTGTAAATTACCAATTCGCTAAGGTCTTAGACATCTTAGTTAGTTGATACCATTCTTTCCGAATGTCACTTTTAATAGATATTGGGGGCTTTACTTGACATTTCTTTACCAGTATTATCGCAGCGTCGAGGATGAGCAAAAGTTTATTCAGCCACAGAAAATGACTTGCGCCGTAGGAGATTAAAAAGATATCTAACTTACATTGTTCCCCTGCTACGTACCTAACCTAATTATATCTGACTGCGTGTCAGTAATAAGCGGCGGCAAGTCCGCAATTATGGTCTGTGGTCTGTGTATCCGGAAATAAACATATATCTTAGAGAGATAAATATCTTATTCCGTAGATGACGTAAAGACCGTCTTGATACCTATGATTCAATTAAATACATACCTACATTAGGTACACATTATTATTAAATTTTTTTTTTTACTGTTGTCATCATCATCATCGTTATGAGATTAATAACCGCGCCAACGGAAGACAAAATGGACCTCACATGACAATTACAATTACAATTACAGCAATTACACTTATACAGGGCTAGGTTGGACGGGATGCCAAGACTCCGATAACGTTACAATATTAAATCGCACTGTGATATCCCGCTAAATGTTGAAAGGAAAAGAAAAGAAAAGATAGAAAAAGGTTGAATTGCTTTAGCTTAGCCTTAGGTACCTGCCTATCTGCCTACCTAACCTTAGGTAACCTAGCCATAGCCAACAACGAGTAGTAACAGCCTTCTGTCCCCTTTTGGGATTTTACACAACTAAGAAGAAAAAAAAAATCCAAATTCTTAAATCCCCCAAATCTAGCCATCCCTTTCTATCTGAGCAACTCCTTATGTGGTCTTGTCCCTATAGTTTGCTTAATCTAAGCTTTCGCCCTTGATCTCAAGGGGGAATAAGAGTTTCTCTTTAAAACTTGGTACCTGCTTTAGCTTAACTGCTTCCCTTCTCCCCGCATTTTCAACTAAGGCCCGAATGTTTGAATCTCCTTGTTTAGGGCATCTCATACGTTTCCATCATGATATCCACGGACCCCCCCCCTGGTTTTTTGTAACTAAGATGTCCTGTCCATATCTATGTATGTACATACACTACATACATAGAGGCAGGGAAGCCAAGACAGGGGCTAGCCTGCTTAGGCTCGTCTTAGGTAGCGTGGTGGGATCTCAAATACTCCAATGGGTATTAGTACATTGCATACATACCCAAGCTGAGCACGACACATTGTACTGTGGACATCTGATAACAAGTCTTCGCTGGTTCTCCCTCCCACCACACATTGCCTAACCCTCACTTTCTCTCCTAGGTAGGGATCACATAGCTGGGAACAAGATCGGTGAGGGAACCTTCGTCTTTGCCCGCGTCCCTCCTATGTAATCTATATGTGCGGTCGAATGTAATTCGTACCGACTCACTTTCCCATTGGCCCCAGTGACGCGCAGCAATGAGCCAGCTAACTAGGTACCTAAACGTATGTATGTATGTGTGTATGTATGTAGGTATGTATGTATGCGCAGCTGTGGCCCCCCTCCTACCCAGCCCTTCGTCCACTCTGGCTTTCCTCTGGCGCGTCCCAGAGCAATACCCTTGGGGTCTGACGGTCGCGAGAGACGCTTAACTTATGAGCTGGTGGTGGTGGTGGTGGTGGTGGTGGTAGTGGCATGGCCTGGGTCGGTTTGGCCCCAATGACACCAGCCAGCCTAGGCCCGCCGGCCAAGTCAGCGCTTGAGGTCTTAACCCTGCTTGCTCACGAGAAAGGGCTCCGTGTCTGCGGTACGGGTAGGCACTAAACACCAGATCTGATGAATAAACAACAATTCGAGTTAAAGTGGATGTAAGTAGGTACCAGGGAAGTTCCAGATGTACATTCAGGTACCCTGTCGCCGACCAGTGTCACCCGCCTCTTGTCGAATCCTCGCTCACCTCCACCCAATTTCGTGGTAGTACCGCGGAAGTACCTACACACCTCCCGGTTCGCTGGTCGTGCAAGGTCCAGGAAGACCCACAGCCTACTACTACAACTACTTCACTACACGCCCACCCCCCTCTCTCCCTTCCCGCTCTCTAGCTCTCCTGTGTTGTTTTTTGTTCCATCCCGACTCAGCTTGTCTCTAGTCTCGAGAGAACTCGGGGGTTCAAGGTGAGCTTTGTCTCACTCTGACTTGGTTACTGTCCTCTACCATCTGGCCTCTTGTTTGCTCTTATACCGCCTCAGCCCCGTAGACCTAACTGGTTATCTGTTGTGCTTGGGATCAGTTTACCACCACCACGTTCGTTCACCAACAATCTTTTGGACCGCTCAGTCCAGATATCTAACCCCCAGTCATTCCTTATAGACAAAAATTCAACTTTCGGCAAAGCCTCATAGTATATAAATATCATTACCTCCCTTACACAGGGCAGCGACCTTACGTCTAATATTTCGATTGCAATTTTTCATAATCAGCAAATTTAGAATCGACAACAAATCCGAACTACTTTCCTTCACAATTTCTCGATTATTTTCACATGTTTAATTATTAACCTACTCTAGTCTATCCGGTGACTACCAAGGAAAGATATAAAATGCATTATCACGCTCATCCGGATTTTCATCCGGCCTATAGCTTCCCTCAGGGAAATCCCATGCAATATAACGAGAACCCGTACCAAAATACTGGCTACCCTGGGTTTCAGTATATATATGGCTACCAACCGCCTCGGAACCATCTCATCGCCGATCGAGGTGTATTGGCTGATCCCAAAGCGGAATCCAAGCCCCGGTTATCAAAAGAAGAGGTCGAAAAGCTCGAAAAGGTATTCAGAGAAAACTCGAAGCCTTCGAGCTCGGTTAAGGCACAACTGGCCGACTCACTTGGTTTGGAGAGACCAAGAATTAATGTATTTGATATATCACTACGCCTTCTGGTTCATATTACTAACTAGTACTGGTAGAATTGGTTTCAAAACAGGCGTGCCAAGGCAAAGCAAGAGAGGAAGCAGCAAGAGTATGAGGAGCAAAGGGCGAAAGAGAAGGCTAGCTCCGAGCCAGACTCGCCCAATGGAAGCCCACAGCGCAGCTCATCAGACCAGGTAGGCGAGAGTGCCCGACAGCGTGTGCAACCTTCTTCCGCGCTTTTCCCTGACACCAGCTCGATTTCTCTGAAGATTGAGGACGACTCCGACGACGATGACACTGAAGATGGCTCACCCGACACTATCGATTCGCCTTCTGGACAGGATCCATCTGGTAGCCTTCAAAGCAATACCCCTGGTAGCTTTCAGTCACCATTACCATTCGATTTTTCGCACTCTGATGTGGCCGACTTCACTCATACACACCCCCCTCAAAACTACCATCATTCTTCACCCATGACGGACTTTACTCCTTGCAGTGTCGAATATTCTGGCCGAAGTGAACAACTGACGAGCTTGGCTAATAGCCTGCCGTCGCCTAATGAGCAATGTGCTGGTACTGAACACACTGGTCAACAGTACCCTGCAATGTTAGAAGCAGACTTGACCCCAACTGTAACACCATTTACCCAATCGCAACCAACTTTCACTACGCCCGGACTAGCTAGCAATGCTATGGAATCGCTACGGGACTATGATGAAAGCACATCTATGAGCGAGAGACGAACTTCACCGTTAATGCCTCAAGGAATACCAACTCCTACCGACTCTTTCAAGTCACCCCCACCTCCCGCTAATATTGCTTCCCGCCGAAATATCCCACGACCAGCAACTCTTCAAACATCTTCGCTCAGAAGCCGCTCATACAATCTCGGCTATGCGCCTAAAATGCCACTAGATCCTTCGAGCCCTGGGTCAGCAATACGACGGATTGCTTCGGGCACCGGCAACCATGGGAGAATTCAGAAGCCCAGTTCAGGATCGCGTTCACCCATGTTCGTGACCCGTAATACCGAGGCCTTAATGATGCAGTTCCAAAATCGTTCTCCAGTAATATCGGTCTCTTCGATGTTCCCCGGGGCCGCCCCTCCAACTCCGATGACCCCTGCTGTTGTTGACAAGCAAGAAATCCGAGAAGCCCGACGACCCGAGTACCAGTACGCACTAGGTAATAACCTTCCTATCAGCGAGTCTAACCTCAAGACTCCGCCAGACACTCCAGGCGTATTAGCTCAATTTGGCAATCAGAACTATCACGGTAATATGTTCAATCACGGAATGAACTTTCCCTCCGACCAGCCAATTTTCACGCCTTTTGAGACCGAGTTTCCCGACCTCAACATTCAGAATGTTCCTTGCTACGCCGAGCTGAGCGACGGTCTGCCCGCGACCCCCATGTACCCGAATATGATGGGTTCTATCCAAGAGCAGAATGCATACGCTCAGCACGCGGCGGGGAACACGCAGTTTGACTGGGATGCCAATGAATCTGTCAACTCGAAGGCTTCTCCCAACCAGTCTAGGTCAAGGTTAATCCAATTCACTCAAAACATGACTCCTCAAGACTATACTAGTCATCAGGAGAAGTGAATTGGGTTTCCATAACGATTCAACTATACTACAATTCACAAACATTACCTAACACCTTTATACCCGATGAAGTTCCAAGCGTCTTGTAGCTTCATTCACCGAGCCAAACTTCAGTGACCACCCTCGTACGACTGAGGTCCTGTGTACCACCAATGTTCTACGTCACTCGTCTAATTGTCAAACTATCAGCATTTGCATTTATCCTTATAGGCAATGAGGTTCTATTAGCGGAACCTCGATACGGTGTACTCCAAACAGTTTCTTTTTTTAATGTAATGACCACGGCTAATGCGTTGGGCTTGGATTTGGCAATACAACTGATACCCCGGGGCGGAAAGGGGAACAGACCGGAGGGGGAGAAGGAGAGACGGTCCGGATTACTGTTCGTCTTTCGCTTGACTGATATACCCACGATGGGTCTCGATCAACGCGCAGGTAGACAATACCCTATTAGGCTTTTTAATTTAACGGGGCGTCTCGAGGAGCAATGATTTATCTGGAGCAGGCGATGTGGAATACCGTTGCGAGCTGGCGTACGATGGGGGCTGTTGTCTAGATACTACTTATTGTTGCTATATATATATGGCGGAGAGGAAATCAGTGTTGAAGGTCTACTGCTTATTTCGAATACTTGTCAAAAAGGGGCGATAGGAAAGCGAAGAGCACAGCAGGCTATTTACAATATATTTACATACAAACAAACGAGCAGAAAATATAAGCTTGGAGGATGATTTAAAAAGTCCTGAATGCTTCTTTCATCACGAACCTCACCGTCGCTCTCAACCGTGATGTGTCTTTTCCAGCTGGCTTAGCAAATTCTACCTCTACTGCATAACTAAGTATATCCTAAGACCGATATCTAAATGTGACTATGATTCATCAGGAGAGTAAAGTGCTGACAAGGAACCCTGACTTAGACTTGCATCTTACAACCACCAAATTAGAAATAGTCAAATGACGACAAACCCTCATTGGTCCCGCCACAGTGGTAACTATACCTATTAAGCCTCCCGCTGGCTATATGCGCCCTAGTATATGAGCCTACCGGCGCCTAACCCGAATAGCTATTGCGAAATACCGAACTTACATCAGACTCGATCCTATATTTGCCGATCATGCCCCCTTTCAGCCCGTCGAGCGTAACCCTTCTCCAGCTTGTCTCGCATCCAACTGCCGGATGACCATTTGCAGCTAACCCTAATCTTCACCCATGTAGATTAGTTAGTGTTAGTATGTATGTATGTAGGTATGTAAGTTAGGGTAGATCCTTTTGGAGAACACCGCACGCACGCACGCACGCACGCGCGCTTGGGTGGGCGTAGTGTAACTTGAACCCCGAGATGACGAGAGATCTGGACGGCGATGATGACTTGGATATGGGATGATGATATTACGATAGCCTCATTTTATTTTTTTTGCCTCTCTCTCTCTCCCACACACACACACATACACGCACACCTACCTACCTAAATCAGCGGATCGCTCACCTCGGGCTGGACAGGTGAGGTGAGGTAGGGTAAGGTATGGTTCGGTCGAAAGGCAATTTTGTAATGTAATAGCATTACCTACATACGACGGGTCCCCGCTTGTTCGTCGAGACAGCCGCTTGTGGTTGCGCATGCAGCACCACGCCTCGAATCACACCGCATGTTGAAGAAACGACGCCGTTTTGGGGCGACCGATGCTACGGGCTCTGCGGTCCCTGCGGTCGTTTTCTGGATGATAGGTACCCAGCCCGCGTGCTACGGGTGGACTTGTAGGGCGATTTTGGTTCCCCCTTCGAGCGGTGCTGTGGTCGCGCGTCTAATGCGGCGGGTTGGACAGCCGGCAGGCAGCCTTGCGTTTGCATGTGAGGTTAGGGGTCTACTACAGTGCGTGCGTGCGTGCTAAATCGGAACGAACGCCAATGCTTCGTCATACCGTGGTCTTCAATATTTCATACTTGGGTGGCATTGTCATCGTGGGCTCGTCAGATTATGAGCGTGAGGGAGGTTGAATGTACGCATAAGATCACGAGAGAGAGAGGGAGAGAGAAGGATGAAGCTACCTCATGATGACCTTGTGAGAGGTGTAAGTCATAGTTATTGATGTTGGAGGATGGAGGATTGAACTATTGAAACGGCGACGCCGCCTTTCTTCAAGTAACTACGTTCGTTGTCGAGAGGAGTACTTGAGGATACTTCGATCGGGATGTTTCGTTTTTTTACCGTTTGGAATATGAATCGAAACGGTAGTTAAACTTGAATTCAATAAGTTTAAGGGTTTCTATTTTAGTCTATGGATAACTCATCTTTTACTTAGGTTAATTGATGTCTGTTGGGGAGGGGAGGAGGGGGTGTTGACGATGTTTACAAGTTAAGGATAACAAAATTTGGTGTGAAATTCGAAATTTGGCTTTTTAAGATGAATGAAATTATATTTATTTAAGAGTTAATTCAATTTCATCCGATGTGAATATAAATATATTTAGCCTTTATTTAAAGTCAATATTTTAAATGTGTTTCATTTCAATGTTCATATCAGATTCACATTCACATTCACATGAACTAAATCTCATTGAGTGAAATTCGCAAGTTGAGAAAGTGAATTGACTGCTCAGCTGCAAGTAAATGACATAAAATAAAAGACTGAAGTGTTTGCAGTTGTTAGATCAATTGACAGCTGAAAACAGCCGATCTCGGAGGGCAGTACTGCCAATAACCCGTAAACCAACCCCCTACTATCCTATAGGTAGGTGCTATACCAGGCAAACCGATGCATACCTCCTTCCGCCGTAGTAATCAACGATAAAGTTGTCCGCTTTCCGGCAAAGGAAAGAAGGTCAGAGCTTGCCGGCGGTACACCCGTGGGCCGTGCTCCGCTACCCCTCGCTGCTACCTACCGAAGCACGCAAGCGACAATCGGAAGTTTGTAGGTTAATTTATCTTAAGAATAAAGTTTTCCTTTCTGTTTCATTCTTGTCTCACCGCCAATAAAATACATACAACATCAATTGAGCATCTCTTTCAAATATCTCCATTTCCTAAGTTGTCAATGCGAAGACAAGCAAAATGAGCGAACCAAAGAAGAAAGATTGCACGGCTGGTTGTTGCAGTGCTACTGCTCCTCCTCCTCCGCCTCCGCCTCCGAAGGTGAAGGACGTTGGTTGTAGTTCGGGGTGCTGCGGTGGCAACAAGAAAGTGGAAGTTGAAGAAGTGGATGATTGCTGTAAGCCACAGGTTTCAGAGAGCAAAGACTGCAGCGCCGCTACCTGTGAAACTCCCGATGGCGCTTCTGAGCCCGACGATTGCTGCAAGCCTAAAAACCCAAGTTCCCTCGATGATTGCCAAGATGCCTGTTGCAAGCCCAAGGAAAAAGTTGATGACTGCTGTGTACCCAAAGCAGCAAATACAGCCCCCGTGGACTCTACTAGCTGCTGCGCTTCTAAAGCTGAACAAGACATCGAGGACAGTTGCTGCAAACCTGTAGAAGTCACCATCGATGAATGCTGTCAAGATCCCTGTTGCGACGCCGAGGAAAAAGTCGATAATTCTTGTAGTGGACCACCAGACGATCTTCCACAGGACACTTGCAAAGACGCCTGCTGTTCGACTACGAAGCCCGATACGGTTGAGCCGTCTTGCTGTGAGGGTAAACAGAGGCCGTGCTGCGACAGTAAGTCCTCCTAGAATTTCATCTGGTCAGATTAGCAAGAAGAATTAACTAATGCCGCTAAGCAACATGTATCGACCGACTCGTAATCCGAGAGACCGCTATTGAAAGGGGGCAAGGTTAGTGTAGCTAACCCTTCTCCTGAATAATTCATTTTTAACCCAACTTTAGGTGATGGTGCAACTTCAACCTCTAGCCACAGCCCATCCCCTGCTAGAGAGGAGTCAATTCGCGCGAAATACGAAATTAGACTCGCGGCCCTTGGGTGTTTGTGCCGAGCACTCATCGCCCTGGGCCAAGAATCATGTTGCACGGCTCGTGATGTTTCCTCGGAGGAAAGGAAGCGCGGGCCTAAGAGAACCGCTCGTCCCAAGTCTCAGGAGAAGCAAGCCTCAACATGCAAGTCTAAAGCAGTGGGAAATTGTTGTTCGAAGTCCCCGGTGCGTAAACCCTCAACCTCGAAAATTCGAGGCGGTACGTCTTGTAACAAGGGTTGCTGTAAGGGAGCAAAGGAATCTTCCACAACTGAACCTGCTAAAGAATCTAGCTGCTGCTCTAAAAGTCCAAGTCCTAAGGGAAGTTGCTGTCAGCAAGATAAAAACATCATTATCGAACATACTCTAAGTACGAACGGGAGCCAGCATGCTGTGGCCACTGACCTTGAGAAAGGGCTCTCCGGCTCTGAGCGTGTCGTACTCAATATCACCGGGATGACATGTACGGGATGCGAGACTAAACTACAGCAAACATTGGGCAGAGTCGATGCTGTAAAGAATCTCAAGACGAGTCTCGTTATGGCTAGGGTTGAATTTCAACTAGACTTTAGTTTAGCCACGCCAGAGGATATTGTCAAGCATATTGAGAGAACGACCGAGTTCAAGTGCGAGAGGATGGCAACCCACGGTTCGACATTGGACATTATTCCTGTCGGAGGTGCCAAACAATTTATCCAGCAGCCCATGCCTCTAGGGGTAGAAAACGTAGATCTCATCGATGAACGGACCGTTCGCATTACATTCGAGCCAGAGGTCGTTGGGGCCCGCGATCTGATCAATAAAGGGTTCCAGACTCCTGTTACTCTCGCCCCTCCGCAGGCTGATCCGTCAATTGCCGCAGGAAGCAAGCATGTTCGACACATGGGCTGGACGACCTTGGCTTCGGCACTTCTTACTATACCTGTATTAGTATTAGCATGGGCCCCGTTAGAAGAGCGTCCGATCACATATGGCAGTGTTTCCTTAGCCTTAGCGACGATTGTTCAGATATTCATCGCAGGTCCATTCTACCCGAAGGCTCTAAAGAGTTTAGTGTTTTCCAAAGTGGTCGAAATGGACCTGCTAATAGTCTTGAGTACCACTGCGGCATACATATTTTCGGTTGTTTCATTCGGCTATCTAGTTAGTGGTCAACCGTTGTCGACGGGTAACTTCTTTGAAACGAGTACCTTGTTGGTCACCCTGATTATGGTAGGGCGGTGGGTCAGCGCCCTTGCTCGTCAGAAAGCCGTCGAAAGCATCTCTATCCGATCTTTACAAGCTTCTACTGCTATTCTAATTTCAGATGGGGGCGCCGAAATCGATATTGACACTAGACTGCTTCAGTATGGCGACATATTCAAGGTCGTTCCTCATACTCAGGCGCCTACTGACGGTGTCATTATCTCTGGTACAACGGAAGTAGATGAATCAATGCTAACAGGTGAATCACGCCTCATTGAGAAGAAGCCGGGATCGACGATTCTTGCTGGGTCGCTGAATGGCAATGGAACCGTTACAGCACGCCTTACGAGATTACCAGGGCAGAATACCATCAGCACCATTGCAGCAATGGTCGATGATGCCAAACTCTCAAAACCCAAGATTCAAGACCTCGCCGATCGGATCGCTTCATACTTTGTCCCCGCAGTTATTTCCTTGACTTTAATTACATTTATTGCCTGGGTTGGCGTGGGGATTCGCAACCAAGGAAAGTCAGGAAGCGAGGCTACAACGCAGGCCATAACATACGCCATCACAGTACTTATAGTCTCATGCCCATGTGCTATTGGCCTAGCAGTTCCTATGGTCATTGTAATTGCGTGTGGTGTTGCCGCAGAGAGGGGACTGGTTTTCAAGACAAGCGAGGCTATAGAAATCGCTCACAAAGCTTCACATGTCGTTTTCGACAAGACCGGCACGTTGACTGAAGGAAAGCTGTCTGTTGTAAGTGAAGAGTATCTACTAGGAGCGCAGCATGCCATTGCCTCGAATATCTTAGGTTTGTTGGCAGACGTTAACCACCCGGTCTCGTCCGCCATCACAACTCACCTGAAAGGCCAGGAAGCTATTGCTGCCAAGGTCGAGGAGGTTAAGTCCCTCCCTGGTAAAGGGGTACAAGGTTATATCGACGGACTTTCCATCCAGGCTGGCAACTCCCGCTGGCTCGGTACTGGGTCTGACCTCCGCGTGCAAGCTGTACTATCAAAAGGTTACACTGCCTTCTGCGTAACCATCGGATCGGAACTCCAGGCTGTTTTCGGGTTGGTCGATACTATCCGACAAGATGCGGCACAGACTATTGCAGAGCTACAGAAACGAAATATAACCGTGTCAATGCTAAGTGGTGATGACGACGGCGCTGTCCAAGCCGTAGCTTCTTCGCTAGGAATTCCCGCAGAGAACGCTCTATCTCGATGCTCTCCAGCTGACAAGCGAGCGTACATCCAAAAGCTGCTTGGAAACCAGGAAGTGGCAGACAATAAGGAGCAGCCAGTGATCGTATTTGTGGGAGACGGGACAAACGACGCCGTGGCTCTAGCCCAGGCTACGATCGGAGTGCATGTGAACTCGGGCACGGATGTGGCGCAGTCGGCCGCTGACGTCGTGCTGATGCGGCCCTCGCTCGGCGGCGTGCTCGCCATGATAGACGTGTCACGAGCTGCCGTGCGCCGCGTCGCCTTCAACTTCGGCTGGAGCTTCGTGTACAACGTGTTCGCGATCTTGCTCGCGGCTGGAGCGTTCGTAAACGCTGGTGAGAAAGCACGCATCCCGCCCGAGTTCGCCGGACTCGGTGAGTTGGTTAGCGTGCTGCCTGTCATCGTGGTTGCGGTCAGTCTACGCTGGGCCAGAATTTAGAGGATCTGCATGAAGGGGTTGACGATACTTTGGGACGGGGTTGATCGTTTTCTAACTCTAGATCCCTCATTTACTTTCTCAGGCCTTGGCTTTCCTGATCTCTGGTAATACCCTTATGTATTACGAGACGATTCTACTTCTGATCTTGGGTTTACGGTTATAACCGTAGTTGCAGCCCCTATTTAACTCAACTTGCGAGACGAGCGTGGACCTTTTTTTTTACTCTATGTTCTGACATGACGGTCTTTACAGATAGCTAGCGTAGTATTCATATCACAACTGAACTAGGGTGATAGCTACAAATACCATTACCAAATGAGCGGAACTATTGTCGTATTGTCTCTAACGTGAGAAGTTAAGGGAGAAGCTCTTATAATGTTGGGCCCAAAGTAAGAATTATTGAAATTAAAAGATTGTTAAACTAAACTAGGTAGGTAATATTCATAAAAATCGTCGTAAAAGCCATTCACTCGTTCCTAAGCTCTTTTCTCATATCTCATAACTCGGCTTCCTCTCGACATCTTAGCTACTTATGCTCCACCCACCTATATCTATTAGTTAGGTACCTAGGTAGGTTAGATAGGTAGGTAAGTAGCTTCAAGCACTGACGCCAACGCAGTAGTTGTAGCCGAGCTGGAGGTTAGAGCAGGAGGCGTCGATGGTGGGGTTCCACTTGCGGAAGTTGTCGAAGGAGATACCCTTGGCCTGGGTGATGGTCCAGCAGTTGTCGCCCTCGACGACGTGGTAGCAGGCGTTGCAGTTGGAGACGGTGTTGGAGGGCGTGGGAGCGGGGCACACGGGCCCGGTGGTGGGCTGCAGGGCGACGCAGACTAGTTCGCCGGGGTACAGGTTGGAGCAGTCTTTGGCGACTTGGGGGTTCATGGAGTAGCTGGGGGCATGGGGGGTTAGTGGGTGGTTAATGGTTAATGGGTAATGGGTGGTTGGAAGAGAGGAGGGAGGGAGGGAGGGAGGGAGGGAGAGAGGGGGATGGAGACTTACAATTGGTCTAGAGTGAAGGTATTGCCGAGCTTGGTGATGATGGCATTGCAGGTATCACCAGATACGACGGAGTAGGTCGTCTTGCCTGGGATGAGAGATATAAATTAGTTTTTTGACTTGTATCTTATAAATATGTATGTAGGATAGAAACGCGGTATAGGTGGAGATAAAGGGATAGATAGATAGGTAGGTAGATAGGTAGGTGGATATATATCACGTACAGTTCGGAACGTAACCCTGGCGGGGAAACAGCTCGGCGGGAAAGGCGAGGACTTGGTTGGCGGCGAGAGCCAAGACGGAGACGATGGCGGTGATGGCGTACATGGTTGGTTGGTTGGTTGATTAGTGATTATAGATTATTAGATCTATGTACTGGAATAGGTAGGTTGGTAGGTAGGTAGGTAGGTATGTGTATTAAGTTGTATGTATTATATATAAGTTGATCGTGGTGAGGATGAGATGAGATGAGATTCTTTTCATGAGGTCGACGAGGCGACTCTTATATACACACAGCCTTGGGAGGGGAATCTTCTCACGAGACGTAACGAGACGCCACGATGAGTTGGGCTTACCTTGGCACCTGGCCGTGATTCTGTTTGTCCGCCTTATTCAGGTTGGGTTATTCATATGACCATAGACCGCATGGAGTCGCAAGATATTGCTATGGGCTCTATCGTATGTAATGTAATGTAATGTAATGTTGACATACCTAGGTAGGTATGTAGCTATGTAATGCGGGGATCGATCCTGCGGTTCGTAAAGACTAGTTGACCTAAGGTATAAGAGGTAAGTAAGTAACAATGGTGGGTTTCTAGTTACCTAATGTAATGATATTCTTGTTTTTTTCCCCTTCTCAACACGATATAATTACGAGTTATGGGTTACGAGTTACGGGTTACGGGTTACGGGTACGGGGTATCACGAGGTCACGCAGATGTCTATCTACAAACCGCCCAACTTATGAGGTATGTATGTATGTATGTATGTATGTATGTATGTATGTATGTATGTATGTATGTATATCGCAATCCTTCGGCAATCGATGCCGTAGCTCTAAAATAGCCAGTAGTATGCAACAGATATTTTAGGTCTTAAGACTGACTAGTTACATACTTCATAATAGAGTAGTATTATCCCGAGGCGTATCACTAATATAGAGGTATGTATGTATGTAATAGCCTATAGCATTAGTACGTTAGGTACCTAGCTGTCAGCTACCTATATTAATTTCTCTTCTTAAAATACATATGATCAGCCGAATCGCATTTCAAAGCCTAACTAAGCTGAGAAAGAAAGAAAGAAACAAGTTAGAAGAGTGGCACGATGGCAACATGATGTTGCAATTTGCGAGACTAAGTGTGCTCAACCTAACCTAACCTAAGCTTTAACCATCAGGGGTTATATTCGACGAGGGGTCAGATCTGGTATGGTCAGGTCAGGTCAGGTCAGCCTTACCACCTCGCATGGGCATACATAGCATGCTATGGCGTCTGGGATGATGACCCGATGTTCTCGAAGGGACCTCAGCCCCTCTCGACCCCGTACTCCGGTCGATGTAACTCTGACCCATGTCCCCCCTCTCCCCTCGGCTTCTCCCGGTAGGACTAGACCTTTCTCTCGAGCAACGGATAGAGACATACATACATAGCTCCCCGCACTTAGGTACGATGTAGTACCTACACGGGCATCTACATACATACATACATCTTCCATCTATCCAAGTTACAGTATGTAGTACCAGAGCCAGAGCCAGAGCTGAGCTGAGCTTAACTCGTCACTCCACCTACATGCGCCGCCTCGCATCCGACGACAAACACGACCCGCCCCATCGTCCTCTACCCGTACCCACGGCCGACCTACTCTTCTACTATTGGCCACAATGTACGATGACAACATAACATAACCTCCCCTCATCTGTACGACGATTGAAAAAAAAAAAAATAAGAAGAGAAAATACAATTTATCCGTCTGAGTCAGATAACTTCGCAACTTTGCTACGAGTTTCGCTAACTACGAGGCTTTTTTCTTTTTCTTTTCTTCTTTTCCTATTCTATATATGTCTAGGTACCTAACCTAGATATGTAAAGATGTCTGCTGTTAAGTGGATTGGTATGGAACTAATACAAATATACCTTCTAGTTCGTGATATGCAGTCGACCTCGTATTTGTCTTGGTATCGTGCATACATCACTCGCCTGTACGTTGGCTTACCCGGTCACCGCCCGTTCTACCTCCTACTTAGGCTAGCTAACGAAAAAAAGCAAGCTATTACGATATGCCATCGTATTTACCTTCCTACCTTTTTATGTAACGTTAACTATTTAAGACTTCACATTCGGAGGTTTACTCCGGGTTCCTCACCCTAACTTAACCTCGCCTGTCTATAGAGATTGTTAAAGGTAGCTCTCCAGGTTTTATGATATGAGGGAATTGGTGTGAATTCAGCTATAGATCTAGGTACTTAGGTTCCAATCTGAATTCATCGTATAGGTAGCTGAGCTAGACCAAAGCCCCTGTAGTACAATAGCAAAACAACAATCCTGCTTCGCAGCAATACGCATTCTCCAGATTTGAGTCGTCCATCTATTTTCCGTCCCGCTACTATTGCCAAACGTACCTATTTACGGTTCCATGTAGTCACTTGACTTATCCTACCGTAGGTGAAACCAAAAAGCATACCTACGAAAGTAATTGTCGAACATCATCTAGGCGACCCGTTTCCTTTTGTTCTCTGGCCTTGTCTTGGAAAGCCAGATTGACCAACTCCCGTTTTCTAGCTTGGATGTTGAGAACGCGCTCCTCCACGCTATCCTCCATGACCAGCTTCCAGACCGTCGTCTCGCGCGTTTGACCGAGCCGATGTACACGGTCGATGGCTTGATCCTCGATAGCCGGTGCCCACCCTATTTCGCAGTTAATAAAATGAAATTGACAAAGTTGTGAGGTAAACTTACAAGAGTCTACAAGTATAACCGTATCAGCAGCTACTAGGTTCAAGCCGACGCCACTTGCAGCCAGACTGGCCAGCAGGATACGCGTGTTCGGGTCGTTATTCAAAGCTTCTATCGATTGATCGCGCCGAGTCGCCGTCATCCATCCTTCAAGGCGACAGTATTTGTAACCAGCCTCATCTAGTAGTTTTGAGATAACTTCAAGGAAGGAAGTCCATTGCGAGAATATAACAACCTTGGATTTCGGGTCCTCGAGCCTTGCTTTTAAGATCTTCCCCAGAGCTTCCGTTTTCGAGCTCCGCGTGTCACCGTCAAATCTACTTTCAACGTTCACCGGTTCGAGTCCAACTGTAGCCTCTAAGGTCAACGGTTGGCGACACATTGGGCACCTGGTGTCTCTTTCAAGGGCCCTCGCGATGCAGGGCTTCCCGAAACGGTGCTTGCACGCTGTAATGACAGGCTCGTGGATGCTGATTGCATCTGTACAGATCGGGCATTCTTCGCCTTCATTATTGGCAGTTAAAAGGGCCTGCTGCAAAATCTGAAGGTTTTCTGGAGTGAACTCGACAATTTTCTTGCTTTCGAGAGGTCTCAAGACATCCTTCACCCGGCCTCCACACAACTTCCAATGGCAGCACCTATGACCCAATGGTTAGTCAAAACAGACTGGGGAGATCCTACTATAGTAATATGCTCAGGCAATATGTTCAAGACGTATAATTGCCACTTACAGTTGCCTAAGGCGCAGGAGTTTCTCCAGGACGCTCGTGAATCGTATCTGGGGGCCTTGCCGGTTATTTTGGCCTTCCCTTCCACGCCGATACGCTTCTAATGCTTCCGTGGTTTCCGAGCTAATAGCCTATTGTTAGTACTTATGCAAGTGGCCCAAGAATAAATCCCGATACTTACAATAAAGCATCATACCTAGCCCTCTCATCATCTCTGAATTTGATGCGATGGATATATTCAGTTTTAGGAGGCAGCTTCAAGTCAACAAACTTCATATCCTTTCTCCGACGAAGGCAGAGATCTCGAGTTAACGACTGAAATAGCTGTTTGGCGAGTTTAAACTTGTCGCTCTTCCCACCTTCTTCGCCGTTAGATAGAGGCTTGTCGATCAAGTTTACGAAGAATGTAGTCTCTTCAATGCCTCCGGTCATTCCTAGGAACTTCAGAGCCGATAAAAAGTCCTTGGGTGAATTGACGCTATAGGGGACGGGTTAGCGTCGCTGCCCAAACAATTGAAGGTAAGCCATATTAAAATAGACTTACATTGGTGTGCCAGTCAACATCCAACGAGATTTGGCCTTCAGCTGGAACGCAGCCTTGGCCCTGGATGTCGAAAAATTCCTGATGGCATGGGCCTCATCCAAGACAACCCGATGCCACTCTACTGAAAGCAATATTCCTTTACTAGTCTGATCATTGCGCAGTTTGTCATAGGTTGTGATAACGACATCATGGTTCAGTAGATCGTTCTTGGAATATGTACCGGCTTTATGGTACCTAAAGATACGGGGGCGTTGATCCTCCTTTACGTGTCGTTCGAACTGCTGTTCCCAGTTGCTCATGACACTCACCGGTGCAACAATTAGAGTTGGACCCTCACTGAAACCGTCCGTCATAATCAAGCTGATGACCTGGAGAGTCTTTCCTAGGCCCATATCGTCGGCAAGCACTCCACCCGAGACTAATTTTGGTGGCGTGTTTGTAATATGGTTGGACACTAGATTGAGGAACTTCCCACTGCTATGGCGCTTCCACAACTGCACAACTTCCTTTGACCCCGTGGCGGGAAGTTGTGGATTCTCTTTGGCTATCATCCAAGCCAATCCCTGTAGCGACTGTTAGATGTGAAGCATAAAACATGAAGTTGAAGCGTCTTACCTGAAGTTGGTACGGTAGTAGTGTTGACTCGACGCTTGTAGGCTGAGCCGCCTTAGGTAGTTTGGAAAGAGAGTCTTCGTCCGCTGCAAATGCATCAACGGAACTGAGGTCACCTCGGAATTGCACAGCTTCGCTGTCCGCCGCTAACTCCTGGAACGACTGTTGCTGCTCTCCATCTTCAGCTCCTAAGCCCACAGTGGATGCATTGCATCTTAGACGCATAGCGGCATTCCTTTGGGCTTCTGCCTCCTTCCTAGTAGTCTTGAGCTGTGTAGCTTTCAAGAGTCTATCTTCTTTTAGTTTCTCTTCTAACAAAAGACGACTTGTAGGGTCGCCAGTGCCGTAGAAAACTAGACGAACAGGACAAGTATAGGCTTCCTTGTTGCCTGTGAGAACACCTTCTAGAAAGATATCGCCTCTATCGATATAGGGCGCAAGTTTTGCAGCAAGTATGGCAGGTAAGTGTCCAATTTGATTCCGCATGGCATTATCAACGCGGATGGCATTACTATCCCAGGGGTTTCTGGGGTCGCGGTTGCAGAGGACCTTCTCGCCGGGATTTACAACTCCGTCGTAATATCGAACGCCTACGATCTTGCTTTCTAAAGTTCCATAGAGCTCATATGAAGAAACAGGGTCTTCATTATTTTGACTCGGGTCGGGAACTCCATTATCATCATTGTCATCAATCATGACCCATGATCGCGGTTGGGGTCGATTAGCGTGACCAAGAGATGATGGAGGAGCAGAGGGATGAGGATAAGAACTTTGGGAACTCTGTGAGCCAGAAGCTTGGCTTGAGTATTGCGCAGAAGTTCCAGCGATATAGCGGGTATGTTTGGATAGAGGTTCTCCTGTCGGATGCGTAGTAGGGCGACGCTTTCCTGGCGCCATCGTGGCTGAAACTAGCCGAAAATAACGACAGTATGTCAGTTGTAAGTGGTTCTGTTAAACAAATTTACCTAATCTGGCTTTGAAAACCGAATACGGTTAACCCTGTCTCAGCAAGATCATATTAATGTATCTTGCAATTGATTGATTGTTTTTTTCTAAAGAATAAGAAAGTAGGTTAGGTAATTTAGCATTTACAGAATACCTAATATTAGTTTCGACGCGCAAACAATAAACTTTACAAACGCGACTGCTTTAAAGTCTTACGAGACTAAACATCTCGTACTCACGTGACAATTCATTAAAGGGTCCCTGCAGCTTATAGTAAAAAGCTATGACGCATATGATCAGGCAGTTGCACGTTTCATGGATATCTCATTAACAGCAACGACAAGTCTTGAGCGTTCTTTCCTTCGGGTTGTTTAATAGTCTCCTAGGTTACGTGTAGGTATTCGGTATATATAAAATGTTCCGCTTAGGTAGCTTCACCTACCTATTCCGGATCAATTGACCAACGAGAGGACGGATACCTATGCATGTACATTGTACTTACATAAGGATTTCCATATATAGAAACAGGCATGTAGTAGCCATTTCTACCGCAATCCGTAAAAAAAGAAGAAATTCGGTTCGGTACACCATTTCGCTGCATCCTACCTGTGTTTTATTTGTACTTATTAAACAAGATTTTAAATTAGAGAGTTCTTAGTGTTATATGCATCAAAAAATAAAAATCGAATTCAATGAAAGGTCCAGCTATTGAAGTTGTACATACCTATGTACCATACAAGCCATGTATTTGTACTTCTTTACGGATGCCGTATGTGTTGTACAACGGATATCGGCACAGTTCCCAGCACAGTAAATAAACGGTACGGCAAAGTGAAGGTCTCATCATCAACACCCGACGAATGAAACAACATGGCGATGGTGCAATCCGAGCTAGGCCAAAACAACATGATAGAATAATGCTAATATTGCGAAAAGAGCCGCAAAAGCACGACTTCTCTTCTTTTTTCAACTTCATTTCATCTGGTCTCTTAACTCTTAATTCTTAACTACCTGTCTCTTGAATTTCGAACTGATGGAAACCCAAGTTTGATTTATTATCATACATCAAGTCTTTCTATTACTCGCTATAAGGAATCGGAGGTACCTAGGTACTTGTGCTTAAATCGTTTTATCGACATTCATATAGAATCAAGTTCTATATGACAACATTCTTCTACGGATAACCAAAATCTCTGTCAAGTTGACAAGAAACCAATCTTACTTCGTCAGGAAAAAACAACCAAACCATAACTCCAAAGCTTTCCCAAGAACTCCATACACCCGTTTCATAATATCATCATAGCTTACAAGTGTTCTAGTGCTGCACTCGTTTACCATGCTCTGAATAGTGGCCGCACTTGGAAATATGCGTCATCTTTCCCGTCTTAACGTCGAAGATGTTGCAGCCGTTCTTGGCCACATTCGGCGGGGTGTATACTATCAACGTCAGCCAAGTGGCACGAAGTATTCTGCTCAATGGGGGGACCTACGGTGTAGGGAGACGGCGTAGTCGCTACCCTCGTTGGACATGCGATGCAGTCCAAGTTCGTCAGCCATATAGGCCACGGCATTCTCCTTACGCACTGTTTCCGACTTGAGCTGCATCGGTTTCTTATTATCGCCGTCTGGAAAGTCGTATCGAGTTTCGGTGAGGTTGCCGCGGAGGATCTTCATCAGGCAATGAGCCTTACCGTGGTCATGGATCGGACTACCCTTCCCTGGAGTCCAAACTAGCACGAGCTGGCTCGGTTAGTACAACATCTTATGGATACCTGGCAATCCGACCAGAGGCAGAGCGCTATGACTTACCAAGTTTGCGTTGCCGTTCCCCTCGTCGACGAGATTTCTGGTATATGCCATGTTGGAGTCTGCCAATGCATACTTGGACCACTCCTTTTCGTCGGAGATATATCGATCCATCATATGTGTTAAGTGGTCCACGTTCACATCGTCAGAAGTCAACCCAGATGACGGTCCTAATTCCTCCTTGATGGATTGGACGAGTTGCTCAAAGTGGTCCATTGCGACGGTTTAATTCGGATGTCTTAGGATAAACTATTTTATCTAATGATACTGGATATGGAATTAGGATGCTTTCGGATGAAAGGGTTCTAGAGTTCTAGGGTTCTAGGGTTCTAGGGTTATAGGTGAATAAAGATTATCGCGGGTTGGTTTATAAAGATACGAGAGACCAGCGGTGTCAGAACCTCTCTAGAACCTTGGGGCCTTCCAACTCCGCTTTTCCTTTCCAGATGAATACCGTCGGTTGCGCTGCCGATCGCCGGAGACAGAATCAGCTGCAGTTTCTCTTATCGTTACGAAGACTGAAATGGAAGGACAGGTCAGGCGATAACTAATACAACCCTTTGTGATTGGTTAAACTTAGTTCCGACACGGACGCTGGTACGTAATCGGAGGCCCTGCTCTCTCCTTTCCCCAATCCATTTCCTAAACTCTCAGCGCAAATTTAGTCTAGTAATTTGGTTTCTAGGAGAATACCGCAAAGACAGGCTCTTCACAAAAATGAACAAAAAAAAAAAAAGGGGGCGTTAAAATATTAGAACCTCCTCAAGACATATTTTCCTAACCTTAAAAGAAGTGGCGATTATATTCCATCTTTACTAGGTATGACACCTAAGTTGAGAAAAAAAGAAAATTAAAAGCGTCGGGTCTAACCGAAAGAACTGGCCCACCGAAGCCCCACCAAAGGGTTGAATTCCTACTGAGTCTACTAAAAGCCTACCTAGGTATTATCTGACTTAGGTACTTGACTTACTGCTTCGATCACCGACTATGGTTCCCTAGAAAGAGAAACGTGGCTCGATGAGACATCGGACGCCATGGGGATTTTAAGCGCCATGGATTTCACAACATGATAAACAATTCAAGTGCTAAGACGGTTCAAATATGCAACTTACAGAATTTGTCAAAGAACTTGGATGTTTATCTGCAATCTTTGGTACCGATGCCATCATAAAATCATTCTTTTTTATCGATCTCGGGTTTAAGGTCACCTACCCCTCGTCGCACTTGTTCAACACACCCGGCCAGCAGTCAATCTCGGGTTAAAGCCCGATGGAGTTTTCGGGGATGCATATGCATTTTTACATCACACCGATGATTAGTTTGAGGGGCCGCGTCCTACGTCGCAAACGGATAAAAACAGGCCTTAGTCGTACGACCTTCGGTAGGTATTTTAGCATATCAGATCTGCGCAAGTTGCATATCTCCAGCAGCTTCGAGGTAGAACTGCTCGTTTATGCCCATCTATGTTCTATATTTTACAAGTAACAGTATAGGTATTTATCACCATTCTAGCCCTTAGGGTACGCTATACCTAGATTGTTATCGGGGAGCCGATATTTGCAATAGGATAGGATCGGGAATAGATAAAAATACAATCAGTCTACTCTTTGAATTTTCAACATCTGTCTACGTTCCTTAGTGCATGACTGCCATCAGGGTCCTTAACGTCTTCGAGCACAATGCTATTAAAGGAATAAACAGGATCATATTTTGTTATTTGCATTAGTCCTAGGCGATGTAACAATCTCTCATAATCAATCATACTTTTTACGAAGCCTTTTTCATCAATTACAGTCGTATATCTATCATAACCATAACCGTATTGGTATACGATGTAGCGTAGGTGCCCAGACGAGAAATAATTTCCACCGTCGCTGAGCCTAATAAATGACTAGACGTAGGAAGGCGGAAAACTCATGTACGAGTGCAAGTAAATCTGGGCCACGCATCACCTGGTTGGCAACATATATATAATCTCTTAATAACCGACTTATCCGGATATACTGAATATACTGAGTTCAAAGAGTTTAGGCAGTAAACGTCTTTTTTTTCTTTCTTTCTTCAGGTAAGCCGTCTAAAGGCATATCGACAGGGCGATATAAGATAAAGTTAGTTCTAGTTGCTTGTGGACCCAACATACAGGTCAGATCTTGAGTGGTATCATTTTGATATTCCTCGCGATGTTATCATACTAGTTCTATGGGTAGATTTTAAGACGGTCGTATACCTTCGGTGATTCGATATGACTAGTTGCTTCTATTTCAAGGTATATATACCTAGGTATTATTTCTTACCATGATGTTGTGATGAAATGCTCAATCCGCTGCTTTGAGATTCGTTACGTGGCTTTGATTGTCTCGACCTCTATTCTTGTTAATGTTACTTACTATGGGGGTTATCGGTGCTCGACGTTTTTAGTGTATTCTTAGATACCTGGTTATATGCTACTTATATATAAATGTAGTCGTTGACGAGATTTTTCTAATATAGGTGGTATTTGCATTACTTACGCCAATTTCTTCGATGTCAGGTTCTGTTTAGAGAGCTTATAAGTATACAATACTCTTATGTTTCGTACCGGCTCACTTAAGATCGTCTAGGAGTTATTAATCTGATTCACTTCTTGCTACATGTTTGTCCCCATGGCTTTCGAACTGGCAAGCGTACCCGCAGGTGTAAAAGTCGTGAAGAAAGGCTCATGTCTCACTGGGATTCTAGTGTCTCTAAGGTAATCTCACGACCCCTTTCCATCTCAAGGCCTTAAAGTCACTTAGGATAGACGCTCCTAAGCTATGAACAGACATTGCAGGTCAAATATTAGCTACAAGATTCATAGTAACAACTTGTGGAACAGATTTCACTTACATGTGAATGAATATGGGCCCATACTACACTACAGGTCACATCACTTATTTTTTATTTGACTCAACCTTCCAGAAGTAAAACTCGTAGGCACTGCTCTCATCCGTAATACCTTTATTCGATTGCGTCCTATAATAGGACGCTCGAAACTATCCGTGTCACTGCTTACATACTATTAGAAACCCCTTTATCCATCCGGCAGCTGATGTCACTAAGCCCGGAGGCGCATGCTAGTCGTCATAAGAGGCACTAATAGTATAATTCTAATATTCATAACTTGAATAACTATCTCATATTAGCAAAAATTAAGGCTGGATGTATAGGCTTAGGTACTTATTTACACCATGAGTATTCTCATAGGATTAGGTAATCTATCTTCAGTGTTAATCAAGCGCCAACGTGGTTGGTCATTTAAGAGATACAGGTGCAAACAGATGGAACAGTAAGCATATTACTTCTCTTATCTTTATTATATAAACGAAAGCGGCAACTTTTTGTACATGATAAGATATTAATAGACCAGAGTACCATTTTGATCATTTTCCGAAGCAGTTACCATACTACTACTTCATCATGACATGACATACTCTACGTTAAAAGGGGAAAATATCTACTCCCAAGTCATCCACCCCTACGGATAAACTGACGTCTTTAAGACAGCGATAAAAAGCCCCGTGACCATGATACCTTCCGCCACGCAAACCACGGTAGGAAAATATGTAAGTAAATCCTTACTACGATAAAAAGCCCGGGGCAAGGATCGTGATGCGACAGTGTCTCGCCTCACCCCGCAGCTTATTGGCTTTGACCAATAGAAACTACGTAGCTTGCCCGATCAAGCTTCCATCCCAGAGCCAAGCCCGTTGCTTCTTAAGTAATCGTTGCCTGCCCGCGTCGCACAACGCAGGATTGGGATTTTGAATCGTACAAGCCGGACTAAATGCTCCCTATGCTAAGAGAATTTCGTACTTGCACCGTTTCTTCTCACCGCTGTAGAGATAAATGGTATCATCTAATATAAAGTAAGAGTAAGAAGTTAGTTGTTCGAACTCACTTGACGACTCATTTTAATATACCTACCTTAGGTATGCAAGAAAGTCTGAATAATACATACCTACATAGATCTATGCATGCACTACAATATTCGAAGAAAGCCTCTCGTCCTAGACAATAATAAACAATGCCAATCCTGCAGCCACGTCTAACTACTTCCAGCCTTAATTGCCTCGTGACAAGAACCCCATCTCGATCGTCTTACAAGGCCATTACGTCTACGGTTCGTAATCCGTGCACGTAGCGATGCAGCGTCATAGATTCTTTAATACCTAGGGCACAGTACATATATACAACTTCGGGGTAGCATTCCCATTCCAAACCTCCATCCTTACGGTTACCTAATACATTCATCAATTTCGCCATTCAATGAGATCGAAATAGGTTGTGTATGTAGAGAACCCGTTTGAACCCTCCACATACATACATACCTTGCCAATGCGTGTATGTAAGTGCTAGATAATTGATAATTCCATAACATACATACATACCACATCCCCCCCGTCCCAGTAGTTATTCCCGGAGCAGTGATTCGTCGGCCATGTAGCAGCCCACGCGAGAGATCGGGTAAATCTGCATCTTATAGGTCGTTCGTGCTTCGTGTTTCATGCTCGCAGATGGCGAGGAGGGTGCGAAAAAAAAAAATCCTGTTCCAGTGATACTCGGTGAGGGATTGGACGGGGCGGATTTTTTTTATTTAAAACTTGAACCCATAGGTACAGACGAGATAGCTGCCGTTTATGATAGGTTCTTAGTCTTTCAGGCACTCGTGCCTATCAACGTCACCACTTTCTCGCACCCCCTAGCCTCCCCCGCAAATATCCATCCTGCATTAACAAGGGAAAACCCCACCATCGTCATCCAGGCTCAGCCTAGACCTCGAAGATGTATTAGATAGGTACTTTATACATCGAGCCTCTGTCGTTTAAAACTCCATTGGGTCCTTCATTCTTTTTTCCTTTCTTAAAATCTCCTATTATTCCTCCCTGTATTCCTCGTAGAGATATTTTCGGGATTTTTGGCTGTAGCGTCCGGATAAGAAAAACTCCGCAATTCGTCGTCCCTATTTACCTTACCCACTTATACATACGAACCGGTCGTAAGCTACAGCTACAGCCACGATGGAGCGGATTCATCATAGTATGTAAATACTCTGAATTGAGGGATAAGTGAACGAAGACACTGGAAACTCATACTAATTTACCCATTAGTAAACCCATTCGCAAAGCGCGATACCCACACAAAGAATACTATTATTACCTGGTATGTGTAAACGACCGTCTCGTATATATAGAGTTATCCTGGCTTGAACAATATCGTGTGATGTATATGAGTGAAGCTAACTTATTTACAGTATGTCGTTACCAACCTCTGTTTCGTATATCAACTCGCTCGGAAAACGAGTATGAATCCTCGAGTACAATTCTAACCCGTAACAGACAAGATATTGACGACCATCACCTGGCTGCTGTCGATCGTCGTCTCGGTCTACTATACCATCCATTCGCCCCACGAGGGGGCCTGGCCTCGCCGGAAAATATGGCACCAGAACGATGCGTATCACACGGCGTTCCGGATGAACCATGTCATCGCTAGCATCTACTGGTAAGAGACAATCATATATATATATATACTCTTCATCGTGAGGTGGTCGATCTGACATATACTAGGATTGTACTGTTTATTCTCCAGGCTGGCTACATCGCCCACCTCTTCTCCGGCACCGTCGAGCGTGTAAACGAAGCATGCTCGGTGGGAAGCCACTTCATCGTGAACAACCTGTTTCACTTCGCCTTCGTGATGCTCTTCGTGCACTCGCTGTTCGGCTGGGCCGAGTTGTTCATCATTCTCAACTTCATCAATCTAACTTCGCTGTACTTCCGCCACCCCGGGTACGCTCGCTTCATCCACTACCCCGTAGTCTCGGGGCCGTTGGCGTGGACGTTCGTTGCGATCTACTGGAACGGCGCTATCATGGTTCCTCACCCGGACTCGCTTGTTGCACGTATTTTCGGTAACGTCTTTATCTGGTCGATCCTGGTGTACGGACTGTTTTACATTGTTATCTACAAGGTGAGTCTTACCGATATATTTCTTAGTATGTGTAGATGGGTTTTAACATTCGCTAGGATTACACCATGGGCTTTAACCTAAGCGTCCTATCAGCGGCGATTGGCGTCTCTCAGTTCCTGCGACAGGTTATTGCGTTCCAGTGGATATTCGCCTTTATCATTATGGCAATTCTCTTTGTAGCGACTATTGTAGTGGCTGTGCCTGCCGGGAGAAATGCTAAATTCGCGTCGGCGCGCAATGGTGATACCGAGCGAGCTCCGCTCCTTGGTGAGAATTAAGAAGAAATCCGCAGGACGAGATCCCGAGAATTATTTCTCATAAGTGATGGGTTGGTTGTTAAAAGGGGTTGTACCAATGAATAGCTCTATTCTTTCGAAGAATCTGTGATGCCATATCCTATCATTTCGGGTGTTTTTTTTTCAAAAATTGATTGATGCGACGGCGTTGGTATTGGGTTGGATACGGAGAGCGAGATGCTTAAGTTATACCAGCACTAAACTAATAATTATTCCATCATATCAGTCATAGTATCCCGTAGCTAAAAAAAAAAAGGGAGATTGAAATTTATATAATATCAATCAATCATAAAATTGATAGTTAAAAATACATGTGGGGCATGAAATAAGAATAATTGAACCAGTTGATTTTAATTAACTACCTCTGTAAATCGGCGATAAGATTAGGTCATATTCTTGATCTCTTCTTTATAATAAAATCCATCTTTTCATCATCTCACAGATTAGCAGCAGTCGATACACCATGGCGTCCTTTAGAAAATTTCCATTTTCATTTGGCGTAGGCACCGACATATGTCAGATCTCTAGGATTTATAAAATAATAGCCCAGAAAAAAGGCTCAAATTTCATTCATCGCGTCCTCACCAAAGACGAGATAAACTCCGTCCGAGGAGCGTCTCATGTCCTCGAACCTATCTACTCGCGCCGGCGCCTCCCGGAGTCTGAACTATTCCCAAATGGAAATATCGAGGAAGAGATCCCTGCAATAGCAACTGCGGCTAGATTTATGGCTGGAAGGTCGGTATACATAGCACCGTACAAGAGCTTGCTTGGATGAAATTGACTTACGTATGAATATCAGATGGGCGGCAAAGGAGGCAGTCATAAAATCTTGCAGTGCTCACAGGGTCAGCTTTCACGATATCATGATTACCTACGAACACCAGCTGGACGAGTCGTCAAAAGAGCAAGACGTTTCGCCTTTAGACTCCCAGGAAATAAGATCGCTGAGACAAACTGGCCCGCCTGTGGCCGTTATCAAGGGTCACGGCAATGGGGATATGTATGGGCGCATCAGTATCAGCCATGATGGGGACTATGCCGTTGCTACGTGCGTGACGTTCTGGGACGAATCGGCCCCTGAGGCGAGCAAGACAAAGACAAACGGCGACATATCCGAAGTAGATTAAGTTGGGGCGTACTATGCGTGAGATGAAAGTCTGAGATGCAATGTGCCTCATCTAAAGTCTAATCGCAGACCTCCATTGGGTATGTAGCAGACAGGCGATTGGCAGCAGACAGTATGAATAGTCGGTTCTCGGGTCTGTAAGTGAGAAGATACTCGACTTTCGATACGAGTATTCGATTTAGGGATATACTTATACTGTTGATGCTACAATCAACAACCTATGAAACTACCTAACTATGATTACCTATAACTATATACGTTTAAATCGTACGTTCCAAAACATATTGTATTAGGTACTTTTTATTAAATTATAAAAAGTAAGCCCTTAAAATCTCAGCAATCAAATTGAATTAGGCACCTACCCCAACGTTCGTGGCATCATACGAACTGCAGCATACTCCAATTGTGATATGTATGTACATATGAACTTACTCCGCACTGCAGTTACAAGGGGTTTGTCCTATAGGTACCTATTGTACCCCTCTAAAATCCAGAGAGCAGTTTCCAATTGCCAAAGCCTAAAGCCTAAAGTGAATGACGCAACCAATCCCCAATACTTTACTTTCTCTCTTCAAATCATGTCTCACACTAGCAACCGCGCCCCGCAACGGATTGAATGGCGGATATAAGACTAAATAACCGATCGAGTTTCCATGCGAACAAGTCGCGTCGTGGCACAAATTCCCAACTCTTGCGCCCTACGAACAAACGACTGCTTGGCGCAATGGTAGCGCGCGGTCCTCCTAAAAATAACGTCTATCGTCATCTTTAGGCAGTGAAAGACTGAGGTTGCGGGTTCGAGTCCCGTGGTGGTCGCATTATTTTTTGCAAGTGGATCGGATCTTTTTTTTTTTTTGTTCAATTTGCAAGTTTTGTTCTTTCCTAAACTTTGCTGTTTACATTTTTGTTTGTATAGCTTGCTTGCTTGCATTGAAGAACTTATGCGACAAAACTTTTGTGAGACGTTCATGCTATGTCCCGGCGAAAGGTCAATGCTCCTTCTATGACTGTTTCTCTGCCTCATTGTTTATGCTTCATTTTGTACATAGGAAGTAGGTGTCCGAGTAGTAATGCAGAATTAATTAGACATTACCTATGTGTATACATTAGGAGATGCTTATATTAAGACTAAGATAATATTTTCTTATTTCGCATCTTATCTTCTTTTAATGTTTGATTTTAAGTTCGAAGACTGCTGGTGTTGGTCGATTCATTGTTAAGAATGATGCAGCTAATGTGGTCCACTATACAAAGTCGCAGCTAGTTAAGATACCTAAATGTTTACTATTAAATGGTTCTATACATTTTCTTAATTTTTCATTTGACAATAAAAAGTCGGAACATTACCATATTGGTGGCCGACAAGTAATTGTACATAGTAAATAAATATAAGGCTAAGATGAGGAAGGATCGGATATCTGATATGCCTATATTTATATATTAGGTAGGTATAATCCAGGTACCTGAGAAGTTAAAGTTTAGAGCCGCAGCAAGGTTCTGATCACTTAAACAAACTCCACCAAATTCTTCCAAAATGTTGTTCTCATCTTGATCCTGGCACTTGTATCGCACCATACTTTGTTCAAAGAGCCTAGAGTAGATACCTATTTAATTCAATTGATCCCCCCTATTTTTTTTATTAGTCACGTCACTATGGCTACTGACGTGGATCTACCAAAAAGGCAAATTACACCCGTACCCATTCCTGTTCTTCCAGTCTCCGTTCCCCAGAAACGACCTCTCGAAGATGACTACGCGCCCCCCGTTTCCTCCCCTCTTAATCCTAACCCCGATCTAAAACCTAATAAGTCCCAGTCGCATGACGACGTACCCGCCATGGCGCGTGAGAAACCTCCCAGAAATAAAAAAGATACCCTGAAGAAGCGAGAGTCCAAAGTTGGAGCAGGTGTCGATAGCTCCAGAGCTACACCTGATCCTAAGATCAAGGAACTCCCTCCGAATGAATCTTCGCCTTTGCGTTACAAATTAGCACCTCCACGGCCTTCCGATTTTGAAACCGCCCGAGGTCCAGTCTTTACTCCCCATCACGAAGTTCCCGCCCCGGATGGTTCTACCATTCAATTTTACGAGACCTCCGAACAGTAAGTCGCATTCCATACTGCGCTGTTCCCGCCGCCTGTTAACTTTATGCGTAGTGTTTTCAACAAGAAGAGCTTCCATTACCTACACTGCATAGCCGATCCAGCTTTCCCTTCCTCGTTCTACTACCGACAGACCGAACCCGAACCTTACGGCGCCCATATCAGCTTCGAAGATGCTGCTACGCACATGTACATGGACCAATTGGGGCGGCACATAACGACAGACAAGGGATTTAGGACGGCTAGAGCAAATGTTGCCGTACGCCAGGGCCGTTGGTACTGGGAATGCAAGATTACGAGAGGTACTATCAAGAGTAACGCGGATGGAAGCGTCGAATCGCATGGCCACGTGCGTATAGGATTCGCGAGACGAGAAGCTTCGTTAGACGCGCCGGTCGGTTTCGACGCCTACAGCTACGGTATCAGAGACGTGCAGGGCCAGAAGGTTCATATGTCACGACCCAAAGACTTCTTCCCACCCGGCGAAGATATTAAGGAGGGTGACGTGATCGGACTCGAGATCCAGTTGCCGTCAGAGCATCTTCATAGAAAGGTCGTGCAAGGCCAATATAACCCGGCCGTAGACTTACTCGACGAGGATGACCCGATTATGGAGGCGGCTAATATCGTCCGAGACCGAATACCCATCCGCTTTAAGCAACACATCTACTTGGAGAAAATTGACTACCACACGACCAAGGAGCTCGAGGACCTCATGAACCCGTCGCCTGCAGGACCCTCGGGTAGTATCGGTAGCAGACCTCCCGATAGACCTAACCCAAACCACCAGGTCCCGGCTCTACGTACGCTGCCTAAATCCTGCATCCGCGTATACAAGAACGGCGTGCTCATAGGCACCCCCTTCACTGACTTGCTCGCCTTCCTACCTCCGGCTTCCAAGCCTCAGGTCCAGGTTGGTGCCCGCGAGGGCATGGACGACGGCATGGCAGGGTACTATCCCGCAGTCAGCGTGTTCCGAGGCGGTGCCGCCGAAGTCAACTTCGGCCCGCAGTTCTGGTATCCGCCTCCTGAGTTCCTCGATTCCGACGGGGATGGGGACGTGGACATGGTAGACGCGGACACCGTTACGGTAGCAGTTCCCTCAGCGCCGTCGAAAGGATCCCTGGATAAGATCCGGCCTGTAGCAGAGCGCTACGACGAGCAGATCGTCGAGGACGTAGTCGCGGATATAGTGGACGAAGTCGACTTCTGGATGCGGGACGGCGCCCGCGTTATCGACCGTACTGGAGGTAGAGATGCCAAGGCCGAGACTACGGCGGGGATTGCCCCCGGAAGAGAGGAGATCAAGGAGCTCGTCCAGGACGACTAGCATGCGTTGCGGCGCGGCTCTGCGGTTCCTGTTATCGGTCGCCGGGCTTCTCTTAGGTTGTCGCGGTTCAGTTGACGAAAGGCCTGTTTTACGGGTTGAGTACGAGGGAGGAGTGAGAAGTGAGAGTCCTGGATGATATGAGAGCGTTGGCGTATGAATTTGTTGAGAGAGAAGCCGTCAGCCTATTCTGAATCTTGACCTTGGCATATGAAGCATAGGCTCGCGTGGATACATACAAACCTAAGCTATCAATACGGCTGCGTGGTAAGCAGCCCCTCTAGGTATCGGGCTGAGAAAGGAGTTCGTCCTACGGAGAGATGAACAGAGGAAGAGAAGCATATGCGATGGATTTCGCCTGTGTTTTTGTGTCGATCGATGCTTTAGATGCAGATATGTTAATAGGCCTATGGATTAAGGGAAATAAATACCCCCAATTGTAATTTGATTCGGATTCGGATTCGCCTGATTTAAACAATTTCCAGATGCATTTCTTATATATTCGACGCCGGCTATGAAAGAAGTAGCTGGTTAACTGGTACAAGAGTATTATGTTTTTAGGGCAAATTGGTTTTCATCTATCCCAAGGCTTCTTCTAGAGTCCCCCCCCTCTCCCCTATTCGACTTCCCTATTCCATCACGACTAATAATTGGACTAGACCTAGACAAACCATAAATCAAATCACACAAGACTCTATCTATATCTGTCTGCCACGATGCTATGTATATTTTTTTTATTCGCATTACCATTATTATTCATATCTACCTAACCTAACCTAACCTAACCTCCATTTCCTTCCGTTTTCCCTTTCCGCAAACCAAATCGCAACGTCCCATCCCAGACCAAAATTCCTACTACTACTCCTAGATGTATGTATGTATGTATATGTACCTAGGGTAGGTAAGTAGGTTGGTATGCATATCGACTAAAGCAGGGTATCTATCTCCATCATGTACCGTACCGTACCGTACCTATCTATCGTAACTCGTGTAGTCCGTCCGTCCTGTCGTGTAATTTGCTTTCGTGTCCTCGTAGCAATCCCCTCCCCCTCCCCTCCTTTTTCCCCCTACGGCGAGCCTTTTCCATAGAAAAAACTAATAGTGATATATATCATCTGCTCGCTATAGCTTGCTTCCCTAAGGCGCCGGGGCAGATACAGATACCGTCGGCTGCTGCTGCTGCTGACCCGGCACTCCTTCGATACGAGGCACATCCCCATTGCCACCCTCCTTCGTCCCCTCTACTAACACTTCCGGTCCCACCACTCCCTCCGTTCCCGCGACCTCACTAGCTTCTTTCTCCAACCTCGTCTCCCGTCCTCTCTTATAGCAATACCACAGCGCGGATAACAGCAAAAACACCGCTACGCTCCACAGCACATTCGTGCCCACAAACGCCGGCCACCGCGTCTTCAACGCGTTCACAATGCCCTTGAGCAAGCCCGCCACGGCCCCCGGCTTCGTCACCAATTCCAGGAGATTACTCGTGCCAAGCAGCTTCTTCACCGCATCCGCCTTACTTCCTCCTCCTCCCCCCTCCGCAGCACTCATGACCCCCGCGCCCTTCAACCCCTGGGCCTCGGCGGCCACGGCCAGGAGTTCGGGGGCCAGGGACGAGGTGAGTTTTTCGGGGAGCTGGGCGACGAGCTTCTTGAGGCTGGAGGGGAGCTTGTCGTAGGACTTGGCCAGGGCGCCGTCGCGGTCCTCGATCAGGCCGACTAGGTCGCCGTACGCGGTCGGCACGCCGTTGACCAGGTCCTTGAGGACCTGGGTGAATTTGCGCAGGGTCTCGGCGGATTCGCGCGAGAGGCTGAAGGCTTTGTTGTCCGTGGAGGCGGCGAGGTTGAGGTCCTCGAGGACGCGGGCGATGTCGGTTTCTTCTTTGTTGACTTCGCGCTCGGAGGGGGAGGAGGAGGAGGTGGGGGTGGAGGAAGAGGGGGGTACGGAGAGGTGGTGGGTGGGTTTACGTTTGAGGGAGATGTTGCGCGAGAGGGTGGTGACGAAGGAGAAGCGATTGGGTTTGTGATCGGGTTTATCGCCGTCGTGCTTGTCCTTATCCTTACCCTTATGCTTCTCCTTATCTTTGCCTTTACCCTTGCCTCCGTCACCATTCTTAGCAGGGACGTCCTGCTTGCTCTCATCTTTGCTAGCGACGCTAGAAACGTCGCTATCTAGCTCGATGACGGGCGTCTTGACGCGCGGAGGCAAAGGTGGTGGCGTTTCATCGCCGTCGGCGATACTAATGCCGCTATCTGACGGAGAGGTCAGGCGCTCGAGAAACTTCTCATCCTCTAAGTCGAGAATAGGCATACCCTCAGTACGCTCCAAGATAATTTCGGGGGAGCTTGGAGACTCGGAGTGAATAGCATCAGTGCTAGGCTTTTCCTCTTTTCCTTTACCCTTATCGTTTTCCTTCTCTAGTTTCTGCTTCTCAGCCTTCTCGTCCCGGTGTTTCTTTAATTTCTTATACGTAAAGAACTCGAGCATCTTGGCGACTTATAAGTTATAGTGTATGTGTATGAGAGATAATGATAAAGTTGAGAGATAAAAATATGTTCCTTAAAATAAGAAGAATAAGAGATAAGGGAAAAGAAAGAATAAAAGATGAATTGGCCTCCAATTCGTGCAGAAGAGTAGCTTAATACCTTTAAGCCTGTTTTATCTTTCTAGGTCAGATCATAAATGATTGGCTAATACGTTGCGATGTAAGAGATGCCCGCGTACTCAGCAAGGGAAGCTTTAAGTACCGAAGTCTTGGCTAGAGGTACCTTAGTAGGTAATAATGATATCATTGCATAGCCACGATTAGATGTGGCGAGAGCTCTATAGACCTTAGCTTATCTGTTTAGGTACCTATGTAGGTATAAGGGGTACTTACGTATACACTGCTCATGTGGCGATACAGGCGGCCTCGTTAAAAAGAAATCTAACAAGAGTTTTGGATACATCCTAATAATTATTTTAATAATCAAAATATTAAATATTATAATCAAGCTAGACGATATCCCATAAACAAGGTATCTAACGTAATAATTTAATTTTCAGGGAACAAGTCCAAGGGTATCTAATCTAACACCTCCATTTTATGTCCATCCCATTCCCTTCCTTTTTTGATAAATGGCCTTTCTAGACCGATATAAAAGTACAGTGAATACAATAAAATAAGGCATGAATACCCGTATCATCGTAACGGTACGATAACCCCCTCTAGGTCACTCCTCATCCTCATCTTCCCCCTCATCCATAATATCCTCCACAAGACTACTCCGTCCACCCCCCCTACCACTCCGTCTCCGTCCCCTCTGGTAAGCTTCCGTCTCCGTAACCGCCCTCTCCCCCACGAAATGCTTCCCCGTCCACGCCGTGCTGCACCGCGGACACGCGCGTTCCTTCCGAGTGCGCCAGAACGCCTCCTGGCAAATATCATGCAACCGGATGCAGCAGTCGCGCTCCGCGCACCGCTGGCCCACCGTCACAATCTCCCGGCACGCCTCGCAGAACTTGACGCGCTGCCACTCGGCATCGCCCGCGTCGGCGTCGTTGTACGCGTCGACGAGCCATTGCCGGAGCTCGGTCAGCGCGCGCGCCGAGAGCGAGTAGAAGCCCGCGCGGCTGCGCTCGAACCAGCCCTCGTCGACGAGGCCGCGCAGGACCTGTTCTACCTCGCTGCTTTTGAGACCCTTCAGACTGCCTACACCATTTTCCCCTGCACCGTTGCCGTTGCCGCTCCCGTCGTCTTCGTTGCGCGGCGCCGTTCGTAGTTTATTAGCCTGCATGCCGTCTAGACATAGGACTTCCATTCTGGGGGAGTTGTACCGGTCGAACATGGCGTCGATCACTCTCCTTACAAACGCCATCTCTTCGGCCGAGCGCAGCGTTGCGAGTTGCGTCATGGGGTCTGATGTCGTGTTGATGAGAGAATACACGCGCTCTTTAGAGACTTGGTGCGTGGTCGATCGGATTTCCATGTCGAAAGGGGAGATAGCGGCCGATACTGCCGATACGTACGACTCGAAATCTTCACGTGTGACTTGTTCCGGTCGTGTCACTTCGGGCTCCTCTTCGATGTTACCGTTTTTGTGCTCGTCTAGGTCGTGGACTGTGAATATAGCGGCTAGGATAGGTTGTGCTTGATTGAACGTCATGGTGCCGCGAGCCATAAAGGCCTGTAGAAACGCACGGTGGCTGTTATCGTAGGCTTGAGTTATATCTTCTTCGTCCTCCATTTTGTAGAATGAATTAGGCTGTAATATTCTAAGGGTTGGTAAGTAATCGAGGTGGATTTAGTATTATATGGTATATGGTATATGGTGTATGGTGTATTGATGGTGAGAAAGATAAGTAATAATTCCAAGTGCTTAAAGTCCTTATAACTTTTGTACTTGGCAATCTTTTGAGAACTGGACCCCGCGATTGAAGACGCGTTTTTGATGCCCTGCAGCTGCCCTGGTACGCGTTAAGTAGTATCCACATTTATCGGTTATCTGCGGTTAGAGGTACGTACCTACATATACATATACCTAGTGGTACATGTTCGTTCAATGATTAGCCAAGTACAGCTTCATATTATTATAATCAAAATCCAACCATCATCACAATTTAAAGTCTATCAATGGAACTAAAATGTATATTATATCAGTCCTATCACCCTTCTATAACAGACCCCTTCCGAAGTTGCAATGCTGTCTCTTATATTACAAAATAAATTGTCTAAAATAGCGAAATTCCGAAAGCCCTTACGCCCTGGACACCTAGACGAAGCTGAAATTTTGACACTTTCAAATGTACAATACAGGCTATGAGTTACATAATAAAAATCAATGTGCTTCGTCGTGGCGTCGTGCATGCTATGGTTGCTGACATATGGAATCGGCTGTCGTAGCTTTGGCTGTTGTATGATGATAATGTCCGTGTGTCCCCGTGTGGTAAAACTCGTTGGTTGTTCTCCTTCCTCTTCCCTCTTTTCTTATCGCTACCTCTCAGTTGTTGGTACTTTGGTAGTTGGTCTACCATAAACGCTGGATTTCTGCGGTGTCTTCTTTCGGTCCATGACCGATTTTAGTACTTGTAACTTCTCCTCCGTCACTTTGATAGCTTCTTCGACTTCTCGCTCGTTCATGCGCTCCTCACGCAACTTTTCTTCAACTGTTCGTGGTTCCATTACCCGTTTGCGTACGGGCATTGCTCCTTCGTTCATGCGGTGGAGGCCTACCCTATCTTCCAACCAGTCCCATAAATCACTTTCCTCTCGCCTCCAGATCTCATCGTACGCGACGACGCGGTCCGGATATCCTATGAAGCCCAACTCACGCCCGTACGGCGCGCCCCTCGGTTGACCATTGAATCCGAAACCAAACCATGTCGCTACTAGTAGCCCGACGAGAAGTCCGTACACAACATTGCCGGTGAGTACCGGTCCGAGAATATCTAACACAGGGCCGAGGATACCGTGGAGCGGCTCAAACAGGCCCCAGTCTTGGGATTTCGTCACCACTAAGTCTGATGGGCCTGACAAGCTTTCCTTAGAGGCTTGGTGCAACTTTCCCTTGACTCGCTTTTTCTTGCCTTTCACCGCTCCGCCATTAACAGCTACAGGACGAGGCGCGGTAGAAACAGCTCCTTTTAGGGCGGCGAAGAGATCTTTGCAATACTGGGTTTGGCCATCTTTAGCCCCTTTCTCGATAGGTCCTGCGAATGTCAGTACTTAGCAATTAGATTAGAGAAAGGTCCTGAGTCTTACCTTTCAACCAACTCTTTCCAGTCCATTCGATGGTACAGTTAATGTTTACGTGAGTCGAGTTGTTTTCGGCCCAGGAGAGACAATATTTAGTTTTTACACAAAATATGTTGCCGCTAGGTACGTCCGGGTTCTGCACAACAACCAACACATTGACGCTCTTTTCAAGATCGAGGTTCTCTAGCGTCTCTGTCACTAAACACTTGGTCTGCTTGGGTCCTATCGAAGCGTAGAGCGGTTTGATGTAAGTAAATCCTCGGCACTTATTATCTTGGGTCAGTCCTTTCTTGTCTTCCATCTGTAAGTCAGTGCACTTTTGTTCGACTGTCAGCCACTTCCCCATCCACGCTGGAGATGCAGGTCCAAATATCAAAGTGTACACCTTTCCTAGAGGGGCAGGGATAATATCGTCGCCGACAATTACTTCGTAGTGAGCATCTGTATCGCCGCAATCCGTCGGTGCATGAGTAGCCGGTCCTGGGAAATCGGGGGTTCCTGAAGGTGTGGGCGCAAAATCTGTCTTCTCGACTGCACCGTTGCCGATAACTGCGCCAGATACCTTCCTGGCGCCGGACTTTTCACCATCCGTGTCGGCGGGGCTCGCGTCGGTGGTCTTTGCTACCTCGAGCGCGTCGTCGTCTTGGTCTTCGTCGTAGACATCCTCCCCGTCTTCGCTCTCTTCCTCTTCGGATCCCGTGCCGCTCCGGCTTCCGACCGCGGCATCGACATCTTCAACCTTTTCTGTTTTATCACCACCTGTCCCCTCCAGCGAGACCCCATTAAGCGAACTCTGCAGGGTAGGGTGTCCAAGCTTCCAAATGTTAACAATCAAATCATAAGTCGAGTCTCGGCTAGTAAAACTAGCGAATACGTGCTTAGCATGAAGCGTCGAGATCATCAGGCCGTTCCTAAAGACGAGAGCGGTGCTCCTCTTTTCGACAGATACAATCTCGTCGAAGCTTATAACCAGGGTCGTTACCCATCCGAAGATATTACTGCTGAAACATAGGTGGCTTTCCGAAACGTAGAGTCTGCCGTGTGCGAGGATCTCGCGTTGAAGAGCACAGCTGTAATCTTCAATGAGATAGTCGTCGTCAGGGACGCTCTTGAACAAGACGTGGAAATCCCGGTTGCGTTTTTTACTCGCTACAGCAAACCCCGTGAGCTTTGGGGTACTACCGGCGGCGGAAGGGTGGGCTACAGAGGCATTAGCTGCTGCGATGGCCGCACCAATCGTGGTTCCGGTTCCAGCGGTTCCAGCGGTTCCTCCGGTACTACCGCGTTTCCGTCTTGTCCGGGCCAGAGCACTCTTAATGCTACTGCTGCGTTGAAGGCCTGACTTACCTTCATATAGACTGGTTGGGGGAGACGTAGCGGATGGCTCGTAAACGGATCGTGGTCCTCCTAGCGTCAGGTCGTCGGAATGGCCATCTCCATTAGTAGGTGCGGTCACATTATCCACGGGTGCGGATTCGGAGCGTGTCCTTGATTCGGTGGTAGAGTCGGAGAATTTGGTAGTGGTCGGAGTAGGTGCGGTGCTTCCAGGTTCCTGGATTCCCAGCTGGCTTAGACTTAGATCACCCATTCCGAGGGTTTTTACGGCAAGTTCCTTATCGCCCATATTAGTATTCTCCAACTGTCCAGCAGGTGTCTCAACTTCTACCCTGTCGTCGTCGCCCGGTTGCGTCTCCCTAGGGACGTTTGATTTGGCCTTATTTCCACCTGATCCTATATTAGTGTTGGTAACGGCGGTGCTTAAGGTGTTGGCAGCGTTTTGTGCAGCAGACAGCATGCTCGAGAAAAAACCGCCTCCAGGAGTTAGTGGTGGGTTTTCGGGTGTCGGTGTTAGAGGAGCCAACGTTATGTTAGATAGCTTGCTTGGGCCAATGCTTGTACTTGATCCTGATCTCTTTCGTCGGCTCGATATCATACTACTCGAAGGCTGGACAACCACATTTGGGACCGAGCTTGCGCTGGCTGCCGAGTTCTTCCTCGAACGATGGCTTTCAGTCGGGGTCGGCGGTGTATTAACAATAACTGGAGCTGCGGGTTCGATCGAGGGCGGAGTAAGAGGGCGACCTGAAGTATCGATGGATGGCGGTTTCTTTGACCGACCTTGACGCGAAGAAGAAGCTCTCTTTTTGTCACTAGTATCAGACTGCTGTGAAGCCGTGCTCGATCCTGGACGAGAAGTAGATCCGGCGGTCGACCTCCGGGACGACGTTCTCACCTCCTCGTTATCGGTAACGTCTGTCTGACTGTCGTTACCAACTTCCTGCACACCACTCGCGTTTCTCTTGCCCCTGAAAGCGTCCCTAAATCTACTAGTAGGCGATTTCGACCGGCTCGAAGGAGTTTGGGGTGGTTGTAAGCTGGTCTTGGTATGAGATAATTGACGAGCCGGCTCGTAGGAAAAGCTAGGGATAGGCGTAACGGCAAAGGTGGCAGATCGTGAAGTGTTGGTTAGATCGTCAGTGCTCTGATTTTGTATTTCGGGAAGGTGATCGGCCTGGATTAAGGGTGACGAAGTTGTCAACTGCCCAATTTGGGACGGATGTGTTGAAGGTACCGTGGGCCGAGCCGCAGACCTATAAGAAATGCCTAGGTCAATAAAAGCCCGTTGGTTGCTAGATTCGACGACAGCTCCACCAACACTAAGTAGGTAGTAGCAAGCCACAAATTCTACAACGTAGGTAGAATTGAACGGTGAAGCTAAAAAAGAAAGTAGTGTATGTACTTTGAAAATAAAGGAGGAAGAAGAAATGATAGGTATGACGAATAGTACCGAACAGGGTTACTAGAGTGGATAGAGCGAATGAAAAGAGAATACGAGATGGGTACGAGATGCGAGATGCGATATGTGAGATGCGAAAGAAGTGTTAAAACTAATAATTGATTAGATCTCGTAAGGCGGAGTCGACTAACACCACAACACTTGAACTGCTTAGTTTTATAACTGCCAAGGATGATGACTAGCAGCAGTTGATTCTCAATAGAGTGCCGAGAGAATAATTCATATTGGTTTAGCTTTGCGTATCGTTAAGATTCTCTCTCATATGCCCAAAGTTGAAAGAATTACCTTTTATTCAAACAATAGATAAACCAGGATGGTCAACTTGACCGAGCGTTGACCGAGCGAAGGGGGTTGGGTAAAGGGTTTTTGTAGCTTATTTAACTATAAAAAAAACAAAGTTGCAGAGGGGGAAACATCAAGAAATTAATAACCAGGTAATAATATAATATGATGATGTACATATATAATGAAACCAATGGGGTTTTGTAGATGGAGCGAGCAGACGAAGAAATAAAATAAAATAAACAAAATAAAACAATACTTACACATCTTCAGGGTCAGAATAATAGGCTTCGGGGCTTTCTTCAGGTTCCTCCCTTCCATCTTCGCCGTCTTCTGCCATCTCATTGACTTGCGTAGTTGAGAAAGAGCCGTTATTAAGGCCAAGACTGCTTGTGCTTCTTCCTCGAGAATAGTCTTCGCTACTAGCTGTCGAACCGAAACTCTCTTTTGAAGGTTGCTTCTTCCATCGTTTTGTTGCTAACTTCTTGGGGAGGAGTTTCCCAACCTTGCTAGGATTAGGAGAGTCTGCGACATCCATGATGACGAAGCTGTCGGTATTGATGACGAGGATCACACGGCGTTGAGTGAGAGCCGGCAGCGATAAAGGTAACACAATAGGTTACTATATCCTAAAACTATTAGAAGATAAATGAGGGAAAAGCTAAAAGTTATTCCTCCACGCTCTCAAAAATAATAGGTGTTAATAGGATGCGAATATGCAAATAAACAAAGACTAAGGTTGAAAGTCGATGTTGAGTTTGAATGCTCCAGGCAACGAGAAACTACTATTTTATCTCGATTCTGTCGTCATGGCTTCCGAGGTATCTTTAAAGGTTGATACTAGTATTAAAAATGACCCTTTTCTTCTTCTTTTTCACTTTCCTCTGATATAATTTTGGTGGGATATTCTTGAACAGGATTCTAGATGATATTACGATATCTAAATAGGACATAAATAATGAAAGGAGTAGATTAGAAGGGCTGATGGTCAATCATCACTCCTATTGCAACGTAGACGACTAGCCCGCTCCAAGTTCCCGACCTCATTCAATGATCGGACGGGGCAAATAGGCGTCATGAATCAGACCCAAGCCGAATGGAGAACCCCTTGTATCGTAAATTGAATAAGGAAAGGTGAGATTTCACCAGCCACACAATTGGGACATAATTAGGACAGAAATCCAGAATGACCCCACCATTCAAGTTTCAACTTTCGTAACACTGTATTTCAATTTTTCAAACACTGTACCTAGACCTACCTTAGGTACATACTCTAACAGGCTATGTAAGTCCAGGCTTCCATTTAAGTTCCCAGGGCATCTACCACCCAGACTGCCAGGGATGAAGATGTTACCTCCTAAAATAAAAAGTACCCCACATGGTGCGCAGTACTTTATTATACGAATATTATATGACTAAAAGCAAGTACCAGGCTACCAGGCTATCAGGCTTTACCCACGGCCACGGGCTTATTCAACGGCAGGTAAGTAATGTACCAATTAGAAGGACAAATTGGCTGACCCGCTGGAAGGTGCCGGTTAACTTATTATTATTAAAACTTCCTTTATGTAATTAACTGGGGACCCCTCCTCCTCCCCCCTAACTCCCCTAAACTCCCCTCCACCCCGCCCTATCTTACCGATTCGTCCTATTCGCTCTAACTTCCGCAACCCGATCTTCGCAAATGGGAGAGATGCGTTCTTCTTCATACGCCCCTAGCTTTTATTACATACTGCAGACGTGCTTTTGACATCCACTTCTTACGCATATCGTCATAAACGAGTTCTCAACGTTCAAATACATACATACATTACATACTCATACGAGGGGTGAGATCCCTCCGACATATTTGACCACTTCGGCTTTGTGAACGCATTTCGCATATTTCACACCATGGACTCCGCGCCTCTAATCAAGGTAGGATTTATTTCTCCTATCTTTTCTCCCATGATTCTTTCGCACGTAGTCCGTTATTCGCCGCAGCTCACCTTATCGAATCATAGGCGCATGATCATGCGAGAGCCGCATCTATAGCAACTCACTCCTCCGATACCACTGTTGCAGTTAACGAGCATACGAGAGCTGCTGGTGAATTCGCCAACGCCGCACGGAATACTAGCAGCGTCGAGGCTCTACGCACTTTGAAGCTGCTCGAGCAGCATCATCAAAGACTTTCCGAACTTCTTCAACTTCCGAGCAAGCCTCCTACCTCTCAGGCCGCTTCCGAAAATGACTCCCAGTCCAGTGAAAAGGATGAAGCGGCTACAAGTGTAGCCTCCACTTCACCGCCTACAAAGAATAATACCACCGGAATCTCAAATGAGAAAAATGCGCAGCCTCCTCCAACCCTCCCCAAGCAACCGCGGTACCCCCCGCGAGACCTTGGGGCCTCTATTGCTAGCAATCTCGCCTCTGCCCGCGGAATTCGGTCCAAGTACAGATCTCAGCCGCTAAGCCCAAGTGTATCCAATACAGAGGCTCCTGGAAACATGGAGGCCACCTCACGTAGAAGTGGATCTAGAACTAAAATGCAGAACATGCTTGACAATTCTGACAGACCAAGTATTGCCACCTCTCCAGAGAAAGGGAGACTTTCGAGACAGTCGAGTTCCGGTCTAGAAGACGAAAGATCAAGCCAGGAACGAGTAGATAATAAGCAAAGTAGTGATGATGGTTTCTCCAGGTTCTACAGCGCATTCGGTAGTATCATTAACAGGATTTCTGCACCACTTGCGTTTGCAGGACTACCCCTAATCAGCGAGGATCAAGCCGAGGCTCCTGCCCCAACTCCCACTCCAGCCCCTGAGCCTCCAGTCCAGAAGCGTAACAGAATCAGAGGACCTTCCTCGGTCTCTGCCGAACCTGACCTACGGAAATTTTATTCTAAAGCCGCCTTGCGGGCTGTGTCCCGCGACGGGCAATCTGCCAATGACTCCTTCTACGTCGTCCCCACTAGCGGACACACGGCCTCTTACGCAAGTATCCTCTCGTTCGCCGATAAAGAAAAGCGGCGTCTAGAAGCCCAGGGCAGCGCGGGCGTCCTCATCGAGGATCCTGACGAGGACGACTTCGTCGACGCCAAGGAATCACAGGCTGCTGCTTCCCGCTTACCCGCCGCCCATAGACTGGCTAGTAAGCGGTCGAACCAGGACAGAGAACTCACTAACATGGTCGAGGAGTTATACCTCGAGAACAAGGGCCTCAAGGACATGCTCGACAAGCTGAGCAAGCGCCTCCACGCTTTCGAGTCCATGTCCCAGAACTCAGGCATGCGGCTCGCGGAAAGCATGCGTCTCATGCGGCCCAGCTCTCCTCTAGCAGGTAAAGCATCCGCACCACCACCCTTATCAACCCTAAGTTCAGGAACAGGGACAGGAACAGGAGTGTCAGACGAAGCGCTCGCGAAACGCAATCGCGAGCTGGAAGAGCAACTCCAGCTCATGGCGAAGCAGATGGAGGAGACGGAGCGCAACTACAACAAGGCGCGGGCGAACCTCATTCGCTATAGAGAGAAGTGGGAGCAGCTGAAGGCCGGGGCGAAGGCCAGGCGCGCCGGAGGCAGTGGGAGTGCGGCGGGCCAGGGGAGCTCGGAGGGAGGGACTGGTTTGGGGATGTTGGAAGAGGGGTTTAGGTCGCCGGGTTTAGGCTAGCGAGATAGCTTTGAGTAGGTAAGGTAGGGAGGGGGTCTTGGTTTAGCTGATATAAGATAATGGGGAAGAAAGAGTATCATAGAGCTGTTGAATACTATCCATCTATCGTTGATGAATAAATGCGCGTTCTCTTTGATTCGTGATTGATCACGTGTACTTAGGTACCTAAGGTTAGTGAAGGTATTTCTCCATTATGTAGTCTTGAAGTCTTGAGGTTAGGTATGTTATTAGATGACCTTAAAATAGGACGGTATAGTTTAGTATTCCGGGGAGACGATAATAGGAGGTATATATATATATATATCGGTAGCTTTTTTACTATACATAGCTATAGTCTTAGGATATGATGTATCGCTTAAAAATAACAGTATTTCTAGTATAGTTAGTATCTTTATTGATAGGTATATATACTAACCTTAGGTACCTGTTATGCCATATACTCAACATCATCAGATAAGAGCAGGGGTACATAAGGTATAGTTAGATTAATGTCTAACTAGGGAGTATATCGAAACCTATAAACATCGCAGTTAACTACCTATCTACCTAAGGTAGGTAGTCTTTTAATCTAAACGTACCGAATATGATATACTCCATCTCACCTAGGTACCTACATATATATATATATATATTTCTTTCGTCAAGTTATGTTAACTATGTTATAATCACAATACTCCAGTCTAGCGAATTAGTTGAACGCAATATATATGAACCCATCAGGTACGGTATATAAATATTTAAAGAATAAGAAGCACCTCAAGTTAGATATTCATTTATATATATATTTATTCATTCACCAATCAAAAAGCTCTGCCCACGAATCGTTTTCTAACCCGTCAACACACCAACACCAACACCAAACACTCAACCCCACCAACTCCGTCCCCGCTGATATTTATGATTACTCAATTACATGATGCACGGAATGCTACTACAAGGTATGTTAGGTAGGTACCTAGGTATGTATGTATATATGCCTGTATACGCTCCCCAATACCCCAATGTTTATAATTACCCAAGGTATCCCTCTTACTTCTCGGCCCTAGGCGTCGTCGTGCCCTTCGAGCAGGACATACTGTAAGGAGCCTATAGTGATATATGTTAGCCACATCGTGTCGTTTCTCCTTTTTCTCGGCTACAAGAATATCACTTACCAATACTTGTTTCGCATTACATATCCTCCAAGCAAGATTCCTCACATTTCCATCAGCCGGCACTACTGCCGGCGCAAACTCGATACCGAACATCTGGTGGATGGCATACACCAATCTCTTAGCGTACTTGCCATCCCTCTCCACGTGGCTTCCGAACGGCTCCGCGGGGGTACTGGGCGCGATATCCGGGTCACGGTCTAGGCAGTTCTGAACCACGGGCAGGAGCGCCGACTCGATGGACTGCTGGACCGAGCCCTCGATATCCGCGTCTACATCATTGTAGTCGAAGTGGTTGATATGGATCTCGAAGGGTTGTGAGATAGACATGACATTGTGGTTTCCGTCGTGATGGTACCGGAATTCGAAGACACCCTGCGTCCACCATAGCTTATCCCCCGAGAAGACCATCTCGCCGCTTACTAGGTTACCGTCGTTATTATCGGCGTCTTCAACAGGTTGATCCCATGTTAGAATACCCCTATCGGCTGTAGTAGATTCGAATTGGCCAGGCACGGTAGGAATCCATCGTCCAAGGGATGAAAGCTCAGTGATCTCACGGGATCGATTGTCGGCTACCATATAGAGACCAATCCAATCCTTTCTACCGTGGTTCGCCGGTGCTCTCCACTTGACTTTAATCGGGGCGCCGTATTCGAAAATCATCGTCTTCAATTCGTTAGGGAATCGTCCCGCTGTGCCCTCCTTGCCACTAGCTCGTTCTGACAGAGCGGAGAATCCCGATGCCTCACCCTCCACGTTGATAGAATATTGCTTAGGGTCGAAACCTGCGAGATCAGGCGAAAGCTTTGTCAAGGTGAGACGAGCAGGATATTTATTAAACAGCGCCGTAGTATCTCTCACGATCGTCGAGACACCTGAAGCCAACTTCGGGCGTGCGGTATCCAAAAAGTCTTCCACAAAGTGTGACGTCTCATCCATGACCTTATTGACGCTCGACTGCCACCCCATAACAGGCGGGGGCAGAGAACGCTTGATGAATTTTGTCAAGCCAGCTTCACGTCTTAGTTCGCGGCCGTAAATCTTTTGCATGTGTGGTTTCTCGACGAAGTGGATGAATGCAAGAGTAAGAAGGTGGCTAATTAATGCAAGAGCGAGTATAGATCTGCTCCATGTGATGATGGCCGCGCCCCATAAGCCAGCAGTGCCGAGCACTCTTTCCGGATTATTTAAGTAACGATAGATCGAAGTATACGTAAGTTTTGCGCCTTGGTCGAAGAAAAAGTCACCAAAGAACCAACCAAACTCTCCGAGAGAATCATAAATGCTCACAGCGGTCCAGATTTGAAGAGCGATGAGACTAGCGCCGATAACATGCCTGAGCAGGACAAACCCGTAGTTCCAGTCGACCGGAGCTGAGTACATCTTCCAGCAGGCAGCGATGAAGGTAGCATAGCACAGACTAAGAGTAATGTGATAGTACCCCTTCCACTGTCGCCAGCCCTCCTCTGGGGTCTCTCCAACTTTCAAAAAGTGGCGAGTCCATGCTTTACTGTTAGACTGCCGGGTAAGGATTACGCCTAATCCAACGGAGTACCAGAGTCGAACCAAGAGTGCAAGCGAGAAGAATATGGATTGGTACAGTGGCGTTTGAGGCGTAGTGATGGCGAAAAGAGCGACGAGCCCGAGATTCACAAAGGTAGAATAATCGACAGTCCTTAGCAAGTCGAAGTTTTTGATACCCAACAAATTATGGATTCGGGGTCTGGCGGGTACCTCACGCTTGCGAGTAGGAGGATTATATATCTTCTGAATGTGAGGATCCTCGATGAAGACCAAGAAGGCGAGTTGAGCAGCATGAGCTACGATAGAGATGAAGAGGACACCGTAGCTAGCAGCAAGCGCTGAAATACCATAGTACCCTGCATACCCAATCGAGTACATTGGGTGCGGGGCCATCTCGAATACACCATCGAAGGTTAACTCCTGATCGATCAAGTAAAAGAAATCGCCCCAGTACCAAGCATAATCTTTCACAACTCGATGAGCGTCAAGTTTGACCCAGACGTTGAATCCTATGGCAAGCCACCCAAAGAACCATCGACCAATGGTAACGTAGATGGATTCTCCGGGAGGGACGTGTGCACAAGCGATAGCAAATAAGCAATATGAGACGAAATCACACATGAGAATGAGATCCACAAGCCGTCTGAAGACTAGCCAAGTGTTGTACTCAATTGGGGCTTTCTCAAATTGGTAGTCCTCGGGGATTTTGATCTCCAGCTCGCGCTTGAGGATCTCGTACAGCCATGGCCGCGGGTTCTTGCCGGTTGACGGGTTTTCGAAGAGCTTCCATTTCTGAGCCCATGCTACAAGTTTGTTATCGTTTGACTGTAGACGCAGAAGGATGCCGATGCCAAGGTTGTAACAGGTACGCCAAAATAAAAAGACGACGGCGAACACGGGCCGCCTTAGAGAGTCCGGAAGCAGATACAAGGTCAAGATGTGGCCGGCAAGAACAGCAAGGACAATTGCATCCGAGAGATTCTTGGGTTCCCTAGGGTCGAGCAATTGCGACACCATGTCATGAGTAGTAGGAACGGTGAAGACTATTATGTAAGTATTAGTATCCGGTATGGATTCGTATTCTACTTCATATGCTTACTTGTTCCATCCTTGGTACGGCCATAGGTCTTTCTGGGTTTAGACGATGTCACGACGTCTTCACTGCCATCCTCACTATCACTGTTTACATGTTCATTCGTCGTTACCTGCCTGTGGCGTAATTCGCCAACCTCGGCAGCGGAATCACCGGTTGTGGCCATTAGACTAGATATATATCTTATGTACGTCTAGATGTTCTCCGGCAGCTTAGATATCAAGTAATGATGCGTAATGAGCCTCGTCTACTAGCAGCCATGTAGAGACAAAGAAAAGCCAAAAGTTGAGTTTGGCAATTGGGAACGTTGAGAAAAAAAAAAGAAACGAGAAGAGTGGGAAAAAGAGGTGGAGGATATTTTTTTTTTAATTCTTTTTTTTTTGCAATAGACAACTTGGCGAATAGAGAATATACTTTTAAATGCAGAAGAGTGTGGAAGAGTTCAATTGGGTGACGAAGGGAAAGGTTCCACGTGAGGTGCATTTAATACTTTTTTGTTGCATAACCTTAGACCTAACCTAAACTTCAATACTACATGCATGTTGACTTAAATACGGCATGTACATACATAGTAGTACTATATATGTGGCATATGTATGCCGTGACCGTTTTCTATGCACCGTTTTCTGTGCGACGTCACTAACTTACATGTACATATGACCTCAAACCTGAGGCAAACCGGCAAACCAATCCCGATTCGTCAACAAAAATTTTAAGTATCAATGAATACTACCCAGCCAAATGTCGCGTGGGATGGTGCATTTTGTAACGTAGGTAAGTGTATTAATTATTCGCTATTCCTAAGGCTGAAGGATTGCTTTCGGGATGCGCGTCACATGCAAGATGCAACATCTAGGTACCAGCACGTTCTGGAATGCAGGAGTCTGCAACACCGGCTAATCAATCGCCACCAATAAGAATGAAGAAGGGGTAGAGGGGTTAGTCGGTAAGGAATCTTTGGTTACCCGATCCGACGAGGGGTATTCCGTCGGCTACGCTGGAATGACACCACGATACGAGGCGAGTCTTATGTAATGGGCTATAAGATTATTAGGTAAGGTCCTGGCTCAGTTTTTAATATTAGATTTACACATTATTACATGTATAAACATATGGTATTTTGTTCCAATAAAATTATAACTAAGTGAAATGTAGTAAAATTCAAGTGTTATCACCCTCTTCCTCTATTCAATCCGGATTAATTCAAAAGCTTCTAAGACATCATTGCCCGGAAAGAATACGGTGTCTGAAACATCAAATTTATTCCTAGGTAGGTAGGGACAAAATGATAATGAATATACATCTCAAAGTGAGTCCTTAATAAATTAAATTCATCCTAAACAAAGTAGACGTATACACTATTCTCAATCAATAGGTCTAGGGATAACCTCTTCAATACCCGCACATGTAACTACCTACCTAAATTATACCATCCTTAAAACCCATGCTCAACATGACCATATACTTCTACGTGTAAATCCATATCCACCTCCTAAGTACTTATATCCACGTTACTCTAAATTATGACCCAGATTTATCGAGATAAATATTTAGGCTAGTGTATACCTATAATATCAATAAGGCTTAGGTTAGATACTCATTCGTATCCGGAGTGTTATAATATCAGTTGTCAAAGAATTTGGTATGCTTAGGTAGTATAGAAACGGGATAAGTTGCCCAAGCAAGTGAATACAAGCTTATCTCTTAAAACTAGCAAGCTCCCTTTGCTCTACCAGACTCTCATCTAGTTAAGAGCTGCTAAATTATTACAGGAGGGAAATGGATATCAGGTAGATTTAATGTTAATTACCTATACGTGGCTCATATAACCTAGCATTCATATATCATGCGAAACAACCCTTGAAATAAGTCACACGCGGCTAAACATGGCGAAAAAGACATTTCCCCATAGAGTGATATGTATAACGAACCGAATAAATTTAGATAGGTATCCGTGTCCTATTGTGCCTAATCCATTCATTCTATTCATACCATCCAGCATGGCAAGCCCTTCCGTACCATACCATACCATGCCGTCCATGCAGTCACCGACCAAGCGAAAAGAAAGGAAGCCCAATCCATCCGCCCCCCTCAACTATCCACCTTGCGAGTAATCTTCTAAGCAGCCTTCTTAGCAAACTCGACGCGCAAGATAAGATGCTTGAAACCGTAGCCGTCCATCTTGCTGCACGCCTTGACGGCGTCGCTGCGGTCCGCGAAGCTGATGAACGCGAAACCCTTGGCAAGCCCCGTCTCGCGGTCCTTGGCTAGGAACACGCGCGTAACGCGACCGAACCGCTCGAACATGTCGCGGAGCTCGTTCTCTTCTGCCATTTCCGAGACCTGTGGTAGACTATGTTAGACTATATGTCGTAGATGTCGGAGGTGTGGGTGGGGGATGAGGAAGGAAGGAGAGAGGAAAGAAAAATGGTAGGAGAAAAATATGGGGGATAGGGGGTAAGTAGATAAGGGGAAAGGGGGGTTGGACATAGTAGGGGATATGATAGAGAGGCATGTAGAACTCACGTTTGTCACACGCAGCGTAGCAAGATCGTCCCGCTCGCTGCCATACTTTCCACCGCCCATCCTCTCGCCACCAGCCGCGCCACGATCTCCCCGCAGCGCCGGCGGGACATAACTGCCCTTCTTGCCAGCGCCAGGAGTACCGGCCGCATTCGCCGAAGGCTCGTCTCCCATACCAGCAGCGACGTCGGCGGCGCCCTCGGCACCGACCGGAGCCATGGTGTCCTTGTACGGACACCGGGCGGTGAAATGTTCGCCGTTGCAGATACGGCACTTGACCGTCTTGTCCTTGAGCTTCTCCTTCATGGCGTTGGCGTTGGGGTCCTTAGCCTCCTCTTTGGTGTCCTTACGCCAGTTCGTGCTCAGCCTGAAGATGATGTTCTCGCCTACCGACGTCGTGTCCATCTGCGGGCCTGCTCCGTCTTTTTCCGAAAGTCCGAATTTCTGCCATGTCTTGCGCTCGGCGACGCGCGGGTTGACGACCTCGCGATGAGTGACTAGACGGATCCGTCGGGTCGTCTTGACTTTTTGCCCGTTCTCGTTGTATCGGTAGGTGATGGTGGTCTTGGTGCCGTCTTTGTTCTGGATGGTTTGGGGAGGAGGTAATTCTACTACGATGTCGTCGCCCTCGTCGTCGTCGGCCCAGTCTCTGTTTGTGCGTTAGCATATCACATCTCGTAATCTATCGTTTGTGAAGCCGCAAGACGATTAAAAATTGTTGAAATTTCTTACCTAGCCTTGGATGCCATTTTTCACTATGTATTTTCTGTGTATTTCTTGTAGTTTTCTTGATAAATATGACTTTGAATGTTGATGATGGCGGTTTTTTTAATGTGTGTTGGGAATTATAATTTCAGGTCAGAGTTTCTGATTAAAGTGTGGGGTCTCAAATTGTCTTATCGGTACCACAAGATTTGCCCCGCGCTATCAATTCAAGGCGAGGGTTCGCTATAACTCATTTTATTGGCCCGTGCACATAACAGTATTGTACACTAAGCAGCCTATTGCTTTAATACCCCTTCTTTATAATGTCATCACTTCAACAAAACAATATATTAGAAAAAGAACAACTTCAATTCATTTCTCTTCTAATAAGTATACAGTTCCAAAATAACCACGACAGATAATTCTTAATTGAGTCTTTTCGTAAAGCTTTTTATTGATTTTACTTTTTGTTACATACTACCTACAGTAGTAATATATTGATATCCATATATAAGGTGAGTAGACACCCAATATCCTACCCTCCCAGCCTCTTCTTGGTATATATTAGCACCTAGGAAGCCCAGGCATACATAGAAAAAGATTATCTGCTGTTACCAAGCAGTAACATGTACTGTCCTCAGACACAAAATACTTCCCGGTGTCAGTGCACCGCTCATATCGTCTCATCTCTAGTCGTATCTATCGTGATATCAAGAAGTTATCTCTTCATCGTCTTCGTCTCTTTTCATTCCCACTAACCCCTCAAATGCACTATACTATACTTTTTTTTTCTCTTTGGCTAATGAAACAAGATTCCCGCAAGGGCAGTTGGTGTATTTTTTTCCCATACAATAAATGGGTCTATGCGTAGTAAAGCAACACGGACACAATCGCAAAACGCCGTCATTATCATGGGTTCTAGGGTATACAATGATGTACAAGAAGGGCAGTAAGTAAAAACAAGCATACAAAAAAGGAAAATTTCTGTCCTTCAGTGTGTCGAAGGTCAGGGATGTGTCATAAAAACTACCAGCAGGCAAGCATTAAGTTTTCGTGCTCCTGGGCATGGTAGCTGCATACTTCCCCGGAAGCGGAGGAAGCGCGCAGGTTGGTGGAGGAGCAGGAGGCGGGCCTTCTGAGAGGTGAGGCATGCTTCTCCTGGTCAAAAGGGCTTTTGGGCTCATGTTCATCGCTAATAATTGCTTTGGTGATGTCTCCTGCTGCAGGGCCTTGAGGGAAGGCACCGAGCGCTTAGGAGAGAAGGCTAGAGGCGGCGATAGCGTATAGGTTGGTTCTTCGATAGAAGATAAGTTGGAGGACCGCTTGGGGAATGTTAACGAGTGGCGGTTCTGCCGGGTTGGGTACTCGTCTAGCGGCGGGGTGCAGTTGTAAGATACATATTTGGGAACCGGGGCCGTTGATACTCTCCGCATCTCAAAAGATGAGGCGGGCCTGCGTATTAGCTCGGGCGCGTCTGCAATCTCCGAGGACTGGGCGCGGGCTAGTTGAGGAATGGATGATTTACTTGTATTAGCTTGGGGACGTGTCGGACCTTGTCGACTGGCACGTATACCATCTGTACTACGACGTTCTGTGGTGGTGTTTTGAGTTCCGCCGGTAACCTGCTTCGACAGATGGCTCTTCTTCGGTGGGGTCCCCCTTTCCTGCGACCGCTGCTTTAGAGCATTGCTAGCCCAAGAGCTAAATATGGTCGGTGAATCAGGCATCTGTAAAGCAGATACCTTGTTCATTGGGGGGGTAGGTGAGTTAGACGAGCAAGATGGTATTGGTGGCGGCTGATCAAGAACAATAGAGAGGGGTCGAGAGATGGGGAGGGTTGTCGGCGGACTCCTTCGAAAAGGAGGAGGCTTAGCGAGCCCGTCTCGGCTGACTGCTTGCACCTGTTCGGATCGGGGGGTAATTACAGACAAACTCAACGACGAGTATCGTCTACCCACTGCATGTGGTACGCTAAAGTTAGGTACGAACTGATGCCTGTCGCCATGGCTTGATTTAGGAGGGGGAGGAGATAGGGTCAAAGACGGGCGACTACCCGTATCTAGACGATGATCGAAAGCAGGGATCATAGTCTGCATCGACTGTCTGCGGTTTGCGATTGCGGCGGCGTTGGGACGCGGCCTAACCTCGGGGGTAGGTGGTAATGGTGATTGATTCTTTTGGAATAGATATTCCTCCTGGCTCGAGAAACTTGCTCGAATTGGAGAATTGGCCGGCGATGACTCCGCCGAAGACACCATTGTCCGTTGTCCGGATGAGACGAAGGAAAATCGATTACCATTGCCGGTGCTACTATCCCGGAGGCTGTCTAGGCGTTGACCATCCGACGAAACCATACTCGAATCATCATCCACAGTCGACTCCGACAGTCGCTTTAATGGCGGGTTATTGGAATCACTCTCCTCTGTAGGATCGACAAGCGCATTCTCCTGAGTCCATGAGAAGTCCTGGGAAATAATACGCGAGAAACGGGCCGGATCTCGAACAACAATGGTCCTCTGGCTGCCCTGCGTCTTTAGTGTAGTAGCGCTGCTGTCTGATTCGGGGTTTCCAGTTTCCGAAAGCTTCTTCTTACCGCCTAGCGATTCGATCTCTCGTCTCAGGATAGCGAGCCAAGCATCCATAGTCTCGGGGTTTTCGAAAACAAGTAGCATGTTAGAGACTTGTCGCTTCTCGACTCCTCTTAGAGCAAGCCTAGACCTAAGGGATTTCGCATCTATAGATGGGTTTCCGTCGGCATCCGTGGATGAAGTCACTCGAACAACCCAATGCTTTCCAGGAATTAGGTCGCTAACATAAGCAGCCGAATCTCGAGTGAGATGTAATACCTTCTCAGGTAACCTATTGAAGGAGCCCTCGGCCGCATATTGGAGCAAGTATCCAGAGGTGACAAGTGAGTAGATCTTGCTGGTCCATTCCGGCGCGAATTTGGATTTCTTTTTCTTATCTCCCTCGGCCTTCCGCCCTGCTTCTCGTCGGTCAAGAGTGATATCACCCTGCGAAAAGTCATTCTGTAGTGAGTTATCTTTGGACTCGCTGAAGCGAACTAGGGTCTCTATCGGGGTGACGCAAGCTGGTAGTGTGGCATGCTTAATTGCCTGGGGATACATTTTGAATAATGGCGGCGGATCAAACGCCGTAGTCGTCGGGCTCTTCGGTGATACTGGTTGACCAAGTTTGCTCTTGTTAGCTGCATTGCTACCTCGACGCCCTCGATAATTTATTGAAGAAAACGATTCAGTCGGCGATGGCTTTGCTAGCGCCAAAGGTGAAGGTAAAAGGGAAACCTCAGAGCGGGACGAATGAAACCCCCGGTTGAAGACACCGATATCAGCTAGCGAGGTGCGTCTCCCGCCATGTCGTGGTGACTCCTTTGGCGATGGTAATGCTTCGTCTCCTGTCTTATCATCCCTCCCGGTTCTCGACCTGCCGAATAAGCTCCTTAAGCCAATCCTAGACTCGCGCTTTTCTAACCTCTCTGGCCGTAGTGGAATTCTGTTCTCATTTTTAATAATTGTTATATCTGGCGGTCGTGCTCGCCGCATTTCGCGTTGGCGATTCTGGAGCGTCTCGAGAGTCGGACTCCTCGGTCCAACAACGTCTATTTCAGCCATGTTTTATTGAGTTGCTGAATAGTTAGTAAGATAAATATTAAGATATGTATATATATATGATATAAGTAGCTTTTCGCTATAGTATATTTGTAGATGTATAAGTAGATCCTGAGTGTCGATGATGTGACGCGGGATAGCTAGTCAAACATATGGAGCGCGAATACGAAGCTGTCGACGCACAGATGGCAATAAGATAGGTCAAGGTATAGAGCCCTAAGACGGCGAATCTCCCAAATATCAATCAACAACCGAGATCATGAGGGGGAAAGGCAATTGGGCAGCGATGATGAAGTCAGGGCAACCCTGCGATGTAAGTCGGAAGCACGGTTCGTCCTTGGAAGTCCAGGCCGGTATGCAACGGGGCTAGCTAGCTCGTGGATAGCTTCAAGCTAAGACGGTAGATGACAGCGAGCGAACTGCCAGAGGTGGAGTTAGGACAGAAGAAAAGTGAAGACTAGACCGGGAGCCCGTAAGGCGGGAGACGAGAGGTTTTAGATGGTCAAAATTAGGAATTCACGGTTTGGTTTGGTTTTTTTTTTGCTCTAAGCCCCAACAGGTTGCTAGGTTAGGTATGTATATGTATATGTATGTAGGTTGTAGTTATGTTATATGCAGGTTTGTAAGTCGAGGTTTTCGGTCTCATGTTTTCCTTTTACCCTGGACCTAAAGAGGGAATGGCATGGGATGGGATGGGATGGGATGGGATGGACTGGGGCGGGAAACGGGAGACTTACACAACTCACATACATATGTAGGTACATATGTGCAAGCCCCGGAGCCCCAATGCCCGCATGCTGGTGAGAAGAGGAAAAAAAATTGGAAGAAATCGAAACCTTGGCTGGGCTGCTGGGCTGCTGGGATTCGCGCGCGGGAACCCCTGCTTCAAAGCAACTTCGAACTGACGAAGTGGGTTGGAGTATTGTTAGGTTAGGTACCTACCACACATACACTACACTACATACATCCATCCATCCATACCTCCTAGTTAGTTAGTAGTGTATTGTAGTTACATACTATTGTATTGTATGTATGTATGTTGTTGACGGTAAGGGGAACAGGTTTAGGTGCCATCCCGGTAGGGATCTTCTTCCAGCGCTCCGGCCCATTGACCGTGCGGGACTTGCGGACGCTATGTTATGGGTAACCATCTTATCCACGGTACCTGGCAAATACCTGTATTCGTTTCTATTTTACTCGTGGGATTGTCGAGCGCTAGTTGTACTAGACCCGTAGTTGTAGCTCGTAAGGCGGGCTTCCGGCTAGAGTTGCAAGGATACAAGGATACAAGGATATATACAATAAGTGATGGAGCTTGGGTATTTTTTTTTCCCTCTTCCCCATTGTGTACTTCGTAAAGGTATGTATGTAGGTAGGTACCTATTTTTTTCGATTTGACATCAATGGAATTTAATCCCGTTGCCGCCCTCGATCTTGTCGAGTTCAGCATGCGATCGTCCTGATTACACACGAATAATGACAGATAGGCGCGGAGCACGACAGATATACTATGTATTTCACATGCAGGCCATGGGGAAAACGCCTCGTTCGCGGGAACACTGCCACTAAGAGCGCTAACATCTTACGTTCGTCTGACACTCTTCACGCCTCGGAGAGAGACCCGGTTTGGAAGCCCAGTTGGGGGGGTTACTTACGTACCTAATGTCTAGGAGTCTTTTACATATACGTATTTTAACTATTATTAATTATTAGTATTCTTCTTCTTCACTACATAACTACGTAATATATTCGGAGAGAAAGACGAAAAAAAAAAACTCCCGCCTCGTCTCCAGAAAAACGACCCCCTTCTGCGAAGCATAGGTATTAGGCGGCGCCTACGTAAGTGCTTACAACGGCCAATAACCAACTACCTAGGTATCAAACTTGAATATTCCGCAGCAAAGCTTTGTCACGTTGCGTGCCTCGGTGGTTTCTAATGTTGTTTTGAACCTGCGAGAAGAAACGCGCCCCATGGAGCAACTACCACCCCCCTGGCAGCCCACGGCGAATCAACGACGTGCCAGGATGTGATCTCGCTCGTGAGCCGCTAGGTATTTGTTTGGGGCCTGCAGGCTGCTTGCTTGCTTGCTATGGTACATATGTATGTATGTATGTAGGTATTGACACTCCAGTATATATGTAGCAGCGGGGAACCCCATCGTCACCGCATGCGAATGCCAAGGGCTTTTTCTCTAGTCTCCAAGTGGAGAGAGAGAGAGATCCTCGATGTAGGTAGTATTTTCCCACAGGGACTGCAATGAGGAGAGCCCGGTAACTACATATATACATACTACCTAGGCTTTAATATGTAAGTGCCGATAAATGGAGAATTCGGATCAACACTGATGATTGATAACATATTGATCCAATACCCGTCATGTCGTAGCTTGAATACATAGGTGAAGGTTGTATCGTATCGGCCATCATCTAGATATCCAAGGCCATCGACCATTGTCCACCAACCGGCAATGCGAAGCGAGTTTTCTTCGAGGGACTATTGATCTTTCAACCCGCAATATGCGCAACATGCGTATCTGCGCTCCGGGAACCTGCAGTGAACTGTATCAGACTGTCCGACATTCAAGTATGTATGTATGTAGATTTATGTATAGGTTTATATGGTCTCTTTTGTGGCGTTTCTGCAGCTGCGTTAGAATACCTACATTAGGTACATATATGGATATCTTATCCCCCATTGCCTATGCCAATACCGCCACATTCTGCAGCAAACTACATAGATACATATCGCCGGCTTAATAATTCTGGGTTATGTATTGCTAGTGTATGTATGCATGTAGGTATGGGATTCTACATATTCCGTATGTACACCGCAACGCGATCCAAGGTCAGAAATGTGACGAAACGGCGGAAATACATACATCCATACATGCCTAACGCTGATCATTATCCAAAATTAGGCGTCACCCTAGGCCTGTGGGAACTTCAATAGGTCATGCTTGCTTGCTAGCTATGTATGTATGTATGTATGTCCATAGCTAGGTAGCTAGCAGGGCAGGGCAGGGCAGAGCAGGGTTCGAGCCATGACAGATTCCAACCAAATACAGTATGCAGCGAGCCGAATCTCAGAATATATTGGCTCGTGATCAATTAAGCCAAAGCCTAAGAGCCTCGCATGCCTTGTTCAGAGGTAACACTCAAAAAAGGATGTACATACATACCTACATACATATAACTCCTCAGGATGTTCAATGTTATTTAGTGGAGAAGTTGCTTGAAACAGTTAAATAAGTATTATGCTGCTTTATTTATATGGTGAAATACAAACCCGTTAGAAGATTCTAGCTTAATCTTTGCTTGAATAGGTAATTTTGGATGAAAAAAGTCTTTCCAAAAATACGAGATATGTATTTTACCATATTATTTCGAGTATTCCGATACTTCCCTTTTTTAAGTAACATCTCCACCAAATAACATTGAGCATCCTAGTGTATTGTACCTACATTTCGTAGGCGCCGACCGGATTCGTGAGATTTGCGGTTTACATACTTTAGTACGTACGTACGTACTACACGGTGACCGCGGCACAGAAAGTGGACAGTTGCATGGTGCATTACGGATTCGCTCAGCTCAGCTGACCTTGCATTCTCGTCGGTACCATTCCAATTTGAGAATACGACGTCCTGTGCTCCCTTTGTATTATCCATCCATCATCCCATCCCCTTTGCTGCATTCTCGATTATTTTATCTACGATTGGAATGGTATTTCCGCCATAAGTAAGTATAATTTCATACATACCTATCTTACATACATACGTACATACATACATACATACATACATACATACATACATATAATCCCTATTAATTCACGCACGATACATAAACATACCTACATACATACCTACCTACCTAAATAGTAATATATAAGGTATGTTATCCAAGCGTACGGGATATGTACCAGTCAAACAAAACCCAGTGTTGCGTTGCATCTAGACCACCAGACCACATGGCAATGGCACCTCGGCACTTAACCCTGCTCTGCCTTGCTCTGCCTTGCTCTGCCCTGTTATCGAAGCTAGGGGATGTGGTCCGGCCCAAGCAGATATTAGATATGTAGCAACCAGGTATGCTACATTGCACTAGGTATCCTCTATTTTACAAAGCCCCATCAATAAAAGACGTAAATAATATGGCTATTGCTTCCAACAGACTTTAAAGCCTCAATATTTCTCTTTCTCTCTTTTTTTTCTCCTCTCCCCTCCCCCCCTTAACTTACCTAAGGTATGCATAACTAGTCGTTATTTACATACACTATAGCAAACCTCCCGCATCCGATCCTGCGTCTCCGTGGTGATAGTTCCTGCAGTAGCGGCCGGGGAACCGGGATCGTCCACGCTGCTCGAGCTTAGTGAAAGGATTCGAATTGTTTCGCTTGCTACTGGCTTCTTCCGTCGGGTTCCAGTCTCACTCACTGTGGGCTCCTATCATGCTCAAAAGGGGCCACTTATACATACTGCAAGAACCTGTCAGCTACTGATATATAGCTCTCTATTATATCTTATTTCTTTTAATAATGCGGCGCTCGTATATGTTCAGCTAACTCCAGCTAAAGGATCATGGATCTATGCTATAAGGGTTATTTTTGATACCGTTATTTCAGCTGAGCAGCAAGTCTGACCAACTATCCACGCCAAGCCAACGTAATACAATACCATCCGTGGGGTCTCGGAATGGGGCATGATAGGTGCGCATCCAACATACATGCCCCTTAAAATCACCTAGAACGGATATCTCATAGGCCAATTAAATATTTTTTTAAGGAGCAATTTCTACTCGCAGACAATTCGTGGCTTATTTTCCATACATATTCGTCGACTACATGCTGCCTATGTACATACATACCTTATACATATGTATGTAAGCTTCCCAGAGCGCCATTGACCAGCGAGGAGGGAAGATTTCTGTCACCTCGTACAAGGGTAACGATAATCGACAGGGCCGCCACGCGCGTTAGGGGGGCTCGGACTGAGACCTGCTCATCAACGGGATCCGAACCACCGGGACCGCATCGGTAGCAGCCGACGATCAGTCTTTGTAGAGACAAGCTGATCGCTAAATTAATAGACTTAACCGTAGAAGCGGCAAAAGACCCGACGACGTCCCGCGCATACAGACCGCCGGCATTGATTCCAAGTAGTTCAGGTACCCGCGAATCATAGGCGAACGATCCTTAATACCGGTGCAGAATATGTAGGTACGTATGCAAGTGCGCCCTATCTGCACGAGCTGCCGATCAGAAGAACTGCACCCCAAGTCAAATGAGGCCTCTCTCCGGGTTTTCGTGAGCATATTGCATATAGACGAATACTTTTTATCTTTAATGTTTCCTCTTTTGTCCCTATCTCCGTTGTCCTCGCCGACCTGTGCAACTACTTTGCTATGCCTCTACGTAGGATAGGGCCGAGCAGCGATTCTAGCCTCAAGCCCGCGGCGATGATATGACGTCGGCTGCGCGATATTACTGGCCTGCCCGTATGCAGCTGACGGTGCAGCTCCCAAAACCAAAGTATTGGGATTACGCGTGTCCGGATTGCGACCCCTATTAGCGGCCTTTGCATTCTGACATCTTGCCTTCTGCCGGTTAGGAATCCCGAGCGAAATCCACTTGGTGATCATTGAAGTCGAGGTATCCGCATTCCGTCTTCGCCAAAACGTGGTAAACCCACTTGAGCCGAGGCATCCAACAGCGTGGAAGTGGATTTCCTTATACATACACTACGCCAACTAGTATCGTCATGCTAACCATGGCACATATACAATTAAGCGTTGATTAGCTCCATGACTTCCAAGGTAGACAACCACCGATGCCAATTATTCTACAACTTCGGTATTGCATAGCTAATATGCCACGTGGACATCGTGCTAATTCATCGTCATAGTAAACTTGTCAGCATTAGACTCAAGTCTAGACGGGCTGTTCCACCAAATTCCAATTCACTTCTCTCTTTCTTTTCCCGTCGATATCCGTATCGCGTAGAGGCTTATTCCACATCGGCGCCTGTGCGATTAGTGATCCCGTAGATATGTTTAAGACCGCAAAGCCACCGATATTCAAAAACCGGAAGTGTTCTTGGCCGCAATACAAGCGTCTGAAAACTTCCGAAACATCGCCACAGGCTGCTATCCCGGAGCTAAATAATGGTTTTAAAGATATGTGATTCGTAAGGATACGAATGACAAAATTCTTGGGCTTGGTGTGTAAAAGATTCCTTGGTGCATGCGCGTTTCGGCACATATGACCGAATACACTAGGGGAGAAAGGAGGCTGAGCTCAGGGGTAAAATACTTACAGTTACTCAGCCAAGGCCCGGCCGGTAGTGAAGTGCTTAAGCCCGCTGCAGCTAAATCTGGGCATAGCATAGAATAGGCCGAAGGTAAAGGGGTTTTCAGGTAAGGGTGTAGTGCCAAATGTCGAGTTCCTCAGCTTATGGTTGAAAATCCGGGGTATTAGGTATTACGGGGAGGGCTTGCCTTGCTCTAGGACGGCGAACCCTTGATGTGGTAAGACACGCATAACTAGATTTCGTCTATACATTATTCCCAGTATATGCAGTTAAATGTACGGATAGGTATTGGTCATCTCTTTATGCGGGATATCACCGGGTGTTACTATTCATGGAGTTAGCCGGTCGGGATCCGGTTATCGAAAGCTACGATCCGATCGTAATATTGAAGACGTGGTCTTGGAATCTTGGAGTATTCTCTCTTCGTTTACTAAACACCAGAGCGCCGTGATTTTCTTTTTACAACCAACGAATAGAATAGAATGGAAGAAGCCGAAGATTTAAGTACATATGTAAGGTTTCGAGGAATCTAGAATTGGACCTATGGCTATTTTTGAAACAAGATAAAGTTTAGATCTAAGACAACTCAATACTAGCAACTGCATATAAATTATATTAGCGTGTCAGAGGACTACATATGCTAGGACTTAAGCTCTGTGGCTAAATTTTGCCCATTTCAAAGGATGTCAAGTTGATCCCTCAGATTATTTTAGATTTGAGATGATCAAGATATTTTCTCTCAAAATTGACAATGCCGACACCCAGACTTCTTACACATAGTTATATAAAATACAACTTACTAAAAGTATCAATGTCAACTCGAATCATTATCGAGCTATTATGATTATATCTGCAAATAAGAATATCAATAGGACTTTACCCTTCAGATACATTAAAATCTCATGCTGCTACGTTGACTGACGAGACCCAAGATGTAGAAGTTTAAAGATGGTCCCCTGCATGAACACGTAAACCTAAGGGTCTTATCGATTTATATTAGCTGCTGTCTAGCTCGCATTGTGTAACTTCAATGTCGTTCGTCACAATTAGAGATTGATGAGTGTTGATAGGTTAGGTAAGGTAAATACATATGTACCTATCTGCCAGCGAAATATCTTTATAAATGTGCGGGGAATACGAGATACCATAAAAGGAGCTTCTCCTATGGTTGGAAGTACATATTAATTGAGTAAACGTAGTTTGTACAACAAATCGAAGATCTGCTACGTGGAATGAGATGCGAGCTTCGTAACGTCCTTAAGATATTTGGGTTGCGTACCTAACGACATCTCGTGGTTTGTAGATGAAATGGTTTGACAGATAAGCGCGGCTCAGGAGATACTGTACAGACGCTAGCCGCAACGAGCCGCGAATTGTGATTATAACCGGGTTTATTCTGGGGTCACGCTCTACGGCAAAAATATGTATGAGGTCCGGACCTTTGACGTCAATGGGTCAATTTTTCTAGGCACAATTCTAGAGGTACGGACGGTAGCTTTAGGTATTCCCCACAGGGTCACAGCCCACCTGCATAATGAATTGAGTGCTCTTTCCCCAGCTCCCGTTTACTGCAGTGTACACAGCAGCAAAGTTAAGCAAACCTTAGATTACCTAAAACCAATAACTTATCTATCAGTAGCTTGTGCTAGACCACTAATCTAGACAAGTACCAAACTCTACCAAATTCGGTGCTTCCGCTCCTATTTGGTCACGGTCCTCGAAAAAAAACACCTATAACATCGTTCGACTTTCTTCGTCACCTGAACAGCATCAAGCATCAAAAGGTACAGCTTCAGCCTTCACAAGCTGTAAAGGTGCTTTGTTCTACGTATGCATAGTGCCCCCATCGGGCGTTTGTGCCATGATCACCTCCGAGTCATAGTCCTAATTGACATATTTGGTGATTAGACCGCCACCTGCATACTGTTAACCTGCATCTTTTACGGATTTCTTACCTAACTTCATCTCCACACGCCTTCTATCTCGTGCCCTGATTATACATTACATACGTCCTGCTTGGGTGGAGGGTTGGTGGCTTGGCTAAGTTACCTAACCTAAGTCGCCGTTTGTAACCTCAACGTCTACCTAGTGACCCGGCCACTTTTATTTACTATTTCATACGTCAACGTCAACTTTAAGTCAGGTTCGTTCTTACTGTCGACATGGCACCTGATCTTAATTCTCTTCCACCATCATCTCCATCTGCACGACCACGTATCATGACCTCTTCAAACGGCAACGGAGACTCTGCTATACGCGGAGAGTCAGCATCACCTTCTCCTCGATCCGCATCTATTTCATTACAAGCAGCTGCAACAATGAATGCCGGTCTACAACATGAACCGATGAGACGTAAGTTTCTCCCTAATACCTAATACCTAACCTCTTAAACCTACAACTGTACAACTGTACTCACCCTCCTCTTACAGGCTCCTCGAGTAGTTCTCTATCACGAAACCGACAATCACCACAAATGGGTCGACGTCGCTCCACCGTCTTAATGAACCTACAACTCAACGATCCTTCTCTCCCGGGACCAGGTGAAATGGTGACGGAGGGTGGAAGCAGCGGACATAGCGCCACAAGCCCCCAGCCGATCTCCGCGTCACCCCTCCTCACCGGAGGTGATCCCCACCATAACAGAGCCCCAAGCCTGGGAGAGTTACATCAAGAGCTCGAGGCAGAACAAGAAGCACAAGTGGTAAGCGCTGTTATAACGTTCAATGATAAGCTTTAGTTAGCTGATTTGAATTATATAGAACCGACTGTTACAGATGATCCGTCAGCAACAACTCCAACTACAGCAACTTCAGGCAGCCCAAGGTCAAAGCCAAACGAGCGTAGCCGCCGAAGATGCGACCCCTACGTCAGAGAGATCTAGTTCCATGGTGCTTCCGAACGTACCTACTCAACCACCCTTCCCCGCACCGTCAACTTCGGTTCCCCGTTCCCCGGTCCTATCGCATCCGCGTTCTTCCTTTGACATGGCTCGCGATGCTCTCCACCGCAGATCCAGAACACCCAGCCGTGGCGCGCCCTCTCCTAGGTTGAGATCGACGTCTATCAGCGCGGAAAGTGGAGAGCCGCTCCTTTCCGGGGTTCGCGACGAGAGTGCCTATTACCAAGCTGAAACACAGTCTTTAGTTCGTGAGAACCAAATGCTACGCCATAGAATTCGGGAACTTGGTAAGATACACTGCTCAATCTTATGACTACCTTACGTATCGCTAACCTATGTATAGAACGCCAACTTGGCGAAGCTCATGCTGGTGCGTCACTGACACGAGAGCCAGCGCATCATTCACATCTCACACAGTCTACTTCAGTATCCGAGGAAGATGCTGCAGCGGGCTCGTCATCCGCTGTTCCTGCTACTGCTGCTGCGTCTACTAACACTGCCCAACCTGTCGCAGCTTCAGAAATTATCAAGGACGAGTGAGGAAACGGTGAACTGTATTTTGTAAAGTCGAATATTGTCTTCCGGCGTTCGGTTATTCAACTATCCATAAATGGACGTGTCGGACTATTTTCTGCGTTCCTTTTGGGCAAATATTCGGCGTTGGGTGGAGGGTGTGAGAAAAGGGCATTAGGGAAGAGGGATACGACTTAACGAAACATGGCATATTACAATTGTTTCTGATATGGTCCCTCGGTACATGGCGGACTCTTGGCATCAATGATTCTCTCTTCTCCCGGACGGGGATTTCGGTATGCGTACATGTTTCCAGAACTCATAGACTCTGATAAATGTGATGCGAATCACGGGACTTCGTATTCCATGTTTGAAGTTAAAGAATTTAGACGATGCATTAGATTAAGTGAGTGATTGCGTTTATTTGAACTGTGATATTATTTATTGGTTTATCTCAGCAAGTTCAGACCACATACTCGGAAGATTCTCGGAATTGTGACATTACGAAAGCTGTGGTCTGAGGTGTAAGGTCTCCTGAGATAATATTTTAAGTCTTGTCGTTGCTACAATGAGTCCGAGTCAAGCTAAATAACTATACGGACTCGGCCACACTTAAGACAGGTCAAATACATATACTGCCTTTCGTTTAAGGTTCATCTAGCTACACCTAGCCACATAAATTTCCTACCCTAAATTCATGTAGGAAGGTGCAATAAGATAAGGGAATAGTATTAAAGATTTTAGAGGGGAGGGTGGAGTTATTGAAATCTTTACCAATACAACATCCTTTTACCTATCATTCCACAGTACTACCCACTACTCAAAGGTATACTTACCTATATATATACCCTCATTTTCACTCGTTTGCTTAGCACATAAAAATAACTTCTACCTGAATTGGATAGACATCCTATAAAATCTATCTACCCAAGCTAGATCCGGTCAGATCCAGGTCAGGTCAAGCTATTATTTGACTCATCGTACCCGCTGATGCTAGATTCAGCCCAGCCGTCTTTACGATTTTTTGTTGGATCCCTCCCTTCCTCAATCCTGCTTCTTTCTGGGGCGTTTCCTCGATGCTCTGCAATCTTGGTCCTTTGCCCCAGGCGTGAATCTGGCTTATCAACATAAGGCACTTTCTATATTGGACCTCATTATCTGCAAAAAAAGAAAAAAAGAAAAAAAAAAGAAAAAGAACGCAAATTGGCTCATTTTATACCCAGTAAAATTACCCGGTTCGTCCTCGCTATCCAGTTCAGTTTCACCCTTTACACCCGGTGCTGACCACATAAGGTAGAAGCGGATCGCTAAATCTGCCACATGGACGCAGACGACACAGGGATTTTCCACGGGAATTTGTTTAGTCCATTCAGTGCCGACGAACCAGCACCAAGTAGCTGGTCAAGCGCTTCTGTTGGTCCTCCCCTTCTCGCGGCTTTGAAATCCATAATCAAATATGGGAAAGCGAATCCCTAAGTCTAATTAGTCTGACAATACTGTCTTATAGCATCTAGTTCACGTAGTAGGTGGTAGAACCCTTTGATCTTTGTAGTGTAGTTAATACCCAAAAGCTAAACCAGGTTTTGGAGTACAAGGACGGCAAGATTTGCCTTGGCGACTTTAGCAAATAACGCGAGTACCTATCTAATCACGTAGCTCCCAAGGAGTAGATAGCTGGACTCTCCAAGTTCATAGGGAAGAAGTCGTCCCCATCAATTGCTAGATACCGACTTACATATGATTGAAAGCATTCTTTCGGACAACTATGGAAAGTCGACATACGATTTCACCAGACAAAGTTGGTTTTCTGCTCCGATGTTGAGATAATATTTTCAGTGGGTTGCTGAAGCTCATATATAAACGTACGACCCCAGTCTGGAACTGTGTCAAGTTTTGTTTCCCAAGATACATGAGCCTCTTGGACTTAGTAATATGAGGTTCGGATTTATTGGGGTTGGAACGATATGTTCTACCTAGCTAGGTAGAGAAGAGGCATAGAAGGCCGACGTAATTAACGTCTTTTAATAGGCGATGGGTTGGTATTGTTATATATAAGCGCTTAAATTAAAAACCTGTGATTACCTATCGAAAGCGCGTATAGCAAGTCACCGACGAGACCGAGTTATATTAGTTGTTCCTACATAATAAGTAATGCAAGTTGATAGATAAGTTCGGATAAGTTCGATAAGAGCTCCGGTCCGGCGGTTAAGAATATGATATATGATATCATCCCCTCCGACCTGATTACCTATAACTTACTTTAAGTATCTTTCACGATCTTAGGTAATTCATCTTTTTTTTTTTTTTGCGAGACGGAAGCTGAAGATGTTCACGAGGACAGCCCAGCGGCAATTCCAGTCGTCTTATTTGCGGAGCCTAGAACGCTCGTTCTCTAGTACCGCATCGGTGAGGACGGATTTTACGCATGTTGTAAGTCGGATTCGTTTATTAGCTCTTACGGAACACATCCGCGGACGCACACACAGACGCATATACATACATGCACAATGCACATATGCATTCATTACCTAAATCCACACGCACCAGACCTTGACAGCTCACAGGCTCCTCCAAAATACAGGTCATAGGCGGTGGCGCCGTCGGCCTAGCTATCGCGCGGGCCTTAGTCTCCCCCCACTCTGCCTCCTCCGGTAGTAATAGCAACAGTAACAGTAACAGTAACAGTAACACTACGCTCCTGCTAGAACGGCATCCTCACACCGGCACGGAAACCTCGTCGCGCAACAGCGAAGTCATCCACGCTGGTCTATACTACGGACCCGGGTCCCTCAAAACACGCCTGTGTATCCGCGGCCGCGAGGCCCTATATTCCTTCTGCGCGCGCTACGGGGTGCCTCACGCGCGCGTGGGGAAGTGGGTAGTCGCGCAGGACGAGGCGCAAGTCGAGGCGCTGAGGGGGATCCACGGGACATGCAGCACGGAGCTAGGCGTGCCGACGCGGTGGGTAAGCCGCTCGGAGGCGCGGCGGTTGGAGCCCTCGGTCCAGGCTTTAGGCGGTGTGTTAGAGAGTCCGGAGACGGGGATCGTGGATTCGCATGCGTTGATGACGGCGCTGTTGGGGCAGTTCGAAGACGGAGGGGGCGTGCTGGCTGTTAACTCGGCGGTTGTAGGCGTCGAAGCTTTGGGCTCGACGCCAGGTGCGAGCGGTTGGCGCATTACCGTCCGCGACGCGGCGACCGGCTCCGAATCGAGCATCACCGCCTCGACTATCATCAACAGTGCCGGTCTCGCCGCCGCCGACATCCACAACATGATTGCGCCGCCGGACAAGCGCCTCCGGCTATACTACGCCAAGGGGAACTACTTCAGCTACGGCTCCCCGGCCCCCAAAGTCCGCCGCCTGGTCTACCCCGTCACCGCCCCCGGCGCCGGCGGCCTAGGCACGCATCTAACGCTGGACCTCGCCGGCCGGATGCGCTTCGGGCCCGACGTCGAATGGGTCGAGTCGCCGACCGACTTAGCCGTCAACGCGGCGCGGCTGCCGGCCGCCGTCGCAGAGATCAAAAAGTATCTCCCGTCCGTCGACGCGCGCGCGCTGACCCCCGACTACGCGGGCATACGGCCGAAGCTGTCGCCGGCGGGCGCCGTGGCGACGGGCGGAGGGGGGTTTGTCGATTTTTATATCAGGAAGGAGGATGGGTTTGAGGGCTGGGTGAATCTGCTGGGGATAGAGAGCCCGGGGTTGACTAGTTGTCTGGCGATCGGGGAGATGGTGAGGGATATGCTGTATGGGAGTGGGAAGGTGGAGGGATCGGCGGCGTTGGGGAGGTAGATAGGGGGTAGGTGTGGCATGTATGTACGTAAGGCTTCTTTTCTACTTGATGATCACGGCGATTTGTACATGTCAGATAGATTAGGTAGACACGAAGAAGAGTCAAAAGGGGGGCGTTATAACCTGATACCAATAACACAAGCACAGATATCAGATACAAAAACTAGCTAGTTAGTTCAAATCCTAGTAAGGACATGCCAAATACAATTCGGTTGAGCGATGTGGCTACATCTAATATCAGGGGAATCAGCGTAATATAATGTATGTACATTTCTCTCCACCAACAAAAAAAAGCCCGTGATAGCGGAGCCCTTTCGACCAACCAACTCACTAGCCGAACAACTCAGGCCAATCCCTCCCCCCTACAACATCTTTCCTCCACTACCTTTGTCTCTCGCAAAATTCCAACACGACGAAACTAACTTTTCGTAGAAACTATGAGGTGAGCAATACACAATATCCACGGCCACCCTCGAATAGGGAATAGGGGTTACTGCCGATTGCCTTCACCGGCGGAGCGGGAAAAAAAAAAAAAAGGTCAACAGAACGAAACAAGAACAAAACAGACGAGAAGGTTTACCGCGTCCAGACCAGTGAAGAATGTAAGACGCCTTTGCCCTCCCTTATGCACGCATGAGTATATAATACTGTCCCCAACGCCGTCGAGATCCCCGTTGCCGAAAAATAAAAGGGTACTGTTCATAGCTTACAGACGAATGTCATGGATTCGTGGCCTAGCGTAGCTGAATATCCGGAAATACTTTTCTGCCGTGGATATTTACGCGAAATTCGTATATTCCGTCTTCTGCTGCGACATATCTAGGAACGGGCTTGTTAGGATATATACGTTCGCCCTCATAGGATAAAGGAATTATTTTGCTTACAATACTTGGCCATCTTCGCTCCATGTCAAACCTGCCGTGTCATCTGGGTTCTGCGTATGCTCGCGGCTACCCATTCTAATCCTGCTGAAGAGCGAGTCGTTGCCCCACACGTCAGCAATGACTGGGATGCCGCGACGGGCCCTATTAGTCTCGGTCCGAGCATTATCGGTAAGTCCACCGGTCCATCCGCTTATGTTAGCCAGGTTCTCGAGGTCGGGCCATCCGGAGCCGGATCCCCCAACATACCACGGATCACGTGAGGCTCCCGAGCTGTCGTTACCGGCTTCGTTGTACTGGCCCTGCGATCTCATCGTCTGTGAGATGGTATCGAAGTTTTGGGCTAGTGTACGCATGATGGACGTGCGACTTCGACCCAAATCTCGTGGTATAGAACTTCCTCTCTCACGCTCCGGTTCGGGGGCCGCCTGGGTGGCGCTCGAACGATGTTGATCGCGGATCTCGCGCATACGTTCCCGTTCGATGAATCTCGTCAGCGCTTCGCGCTGCTCAACACCCGTATTAGTGTGATTTAAGTCAAATGGATGATTGTATAAGTAACGGGCGATGGAATCTCTGACGTTCGCACGCCTAGTCCTGTCATTCTGGAGACTTACGCGATCTGCCCAGCCTGTAGATCTCAATGCGTTCCGTTCGGCAGCTCGTTGATTTCGGTGTTCCATAAAATGTTGCTCCAATTGCTCCCCTCGATCCCGCAATTCCCGTCGACGACGCTGAGCTTGGAAGGCTTCTAGTATCGAGATCTCATCCGCGCTGAAAGGCTGATTGACCCGTAACGTGGGATCTGAAGTTTCTGGATCTGGTAGGGGCCGTCGATCAGATATTGCTCGGTTCCAACGGTCCATCATCCCTAACGGAGAGGATTCGGCATTGCGCTCGTTATCGGCATTACGATCGCCTTCGGTAGTATGCTCGCTGCGCGGATCGAGAAGACGTGGATCAATGGTACTACTATCATTAAGTGAGAAATGATTAAATCCTTCATGGTTATCTAGAGGGATAATATGTCGTCGTTTGAAGTTTGAGCGCGCATCTGCTACCCCAATCCGACCTCGATGTTCTGACCACGCCAAGAGATCGAACGGCCCCGGCGAAAAGGCCATGTCTCTAACAGCACCGTATTCCCCAGGTGCCCGGGCAGAATCGAAATATGCGATTAAAGGTTCCGAGTTAGGGTCCTTGAGCTTGACGGCATCGAAAACAGATATGGTGCCATATTGGGTGCCCACTGCCAAGTACTTCCCCGATGAAGAAAAGCAAGCTGCGAAGCTCCCTCGACAATCCGTAGCGTCATCTTTCCACTGACCCTTAAGTCGTATTTTCGGTAGCAAAACCCATCTCGAGGATTGTCGAGTAACTCGTCGTGAAATTCCTTCGTAATTCTTGTTGAATTGTTCCCGCGCGTGTATGTAGAGGTAGGCGTCATCACAGACTGCAGCTAAAAGAGTCCCATCGGGGGAGATCACGCCGCGGTTGACACAATCGGGATACTCCAACACATCTTTATGCAAGTCGGGTTCGTAGAGGCTTACGATGGTAATGCTCTTGTCGTTGTTTGCTACAACAGCTACCGAGGACTCGTATTGTCCAGGGGCTGGTGCGCCCCCATCTTTAGGAGGATGCCATATGGTTATGCAGTTGACACGCTCGGTACCGATTTTATAGCTAGAAGCTGACCACGTCTTATTGGTGCCATTGATTCGTTCCACAACGGATAGCATATCGCGTTCAAGCTGGTACATGGTGCCTTCAGTCATGCTAGAAGACTCAAGCGAGGTTAGTCTGGAGCGAACATCTCTGCTGAGGGTATCGGCCTGTGCATCGCTGTTACCCGACTCTCGTATGACCACGAACTCTCCATTTTCGCCTCCGCAGCAGATCCAGCCCTTACTAGCAACCAGACAGCGGGGATGGAAGCTAATGACTTTGATGGTTTCGCATTCGCGGGTAGAAGTATCGAGCCGCTGGATATGGGTATTATTGACACCAGCCGGGAAGTAGATGACGCCCTGCTGCTCAGCACTGACCAATGATCGGAGCTGCCAATGACTACAAACGGGGTAGGGATTAGTAGTTTGCGCGATGATAGGGATAAGTAGGTACCTAGGTAGCTCGGTAGCTTCCATGGTAGCCTGGTAGCCTAGATAAAGAGGTATACATAGGTAGATAGTAGACTAGATAGGATGTGAGACTTACATTGGCGAGACACTGGTGCGATAGTGCTTGCGACCTTCTTTAAGAAGCAGGTTCTCAGTAGGCCAGAGACTAAAGACGACTGACAATCAGCGGGGTGTCGCCATTTCTATTTGGATGCGCGCATCAGCACGCGACAGAAAATCCTACCTGGCCTCCTCGTCTACGGCCATGGTGCCAATGGCGGATGTTAATACCGTAATAATGGCTCATCAAGTCGTATCGATCATGGAAACGCGTCGCAGGAAAGTCAAGTGACACGTAAGGGGGGAGAATGCGCCGATCGTAGGATATTTGGGTCGTGGCGGACTGGTCGACTAGTCGAATTGTCGAATGGTCGAAGAGAGGTAGATCCAACAGGATGTGTAGTAGCAATGCCGGGGGGGGATGAGCTGAGTAAAAGGTGAAATCAGAGAAGTGAGATCACAATAAGTCCTAGCAACTAGCAACTGGGGTTAAACGTTTGATGCAAGTTTGCAAGTTTGTTATAGAGGGTGAAGCACTAATTTTCGGGGTCCTTATCCTAAAAGGGAATGTGAGTGAGCATGAGGGTTAGGTACTTTTTGGTTGTGCTTTTTTATTTTTATTTTTTTTTATACTAATCCACGAATGCGGGTTGAGTTAAAGTATTAAGGAAGTTGTTGAATGACTTTACGGGACAAAGGCAGAAGTTCCCCTTGAGAAGGCTCCTCAGATGACGTCCCAGATTCAAACCAAGCAAGCACCAGCATCAGCACCAGAACCAGCACCAAGCAGCTACTGCCGCCGACAATCAACAGTACCGGGCAACCACGCCCTAACATATACGGGTACCCTGCAGCGACCCTGTACCCGGGATTGTACAGTATGAAGAATAATCGATATGTACAGTACTTATCTACCTCACATATTAATGCCCTGATATAATCCGTAATGCAACTATATTATACCTAACCTTACGACTTAGGATGGCGGATGTAAAATATATACTATCGTTGCAGCACTAAGCTTGTACCATAGGAGTTATTTCCATATAAGTAAGACAAGTTTCCATTTTGGTAAAACTACTGCCTAACTGGATTTGCGTGATACTATTTGCGCAATTATCCGGGTTATCGTATACTGTATGTGCCGCATCGAGCCGGTAGCGTATTACCTAACCTATTGTTAAGCTCTTAAAGATTTGAGCTACTACATACATAGTAAGGTACTCTTACATCATCGCCATCTTTATAATATTGAATGTCTCTACTTGGACTTTTGGTTAATTAATTCAAGTTTGCTATTAGTTATGCATAGTTAGGTAGTTTTAAGTGTACATAACTAATGTAAATAATATACATATAACAATTATCGGAATAGCACACTTAAGACGCCATATGCTGCTGACATTGACAAAATACCAAATCTGGAAAAGTCTCGTCTTAAAGGTTTTAAGCTTTGGGAAATTCTAGAATATTACATAAGCGCGGCTCTAGTCTACAAAATTTCGAGATTTCGCCGCCGGTGCGGGCGGTACGGTCGGTACGGTCGGTACGGTAGGTACGTATGCGGGTACATATCGGTTATTGGTTCACGTCACCTCCTCTTAAAAATTTCATCGAATTATGATTGGATCCCCACGTTATTGCCGAGGCACACCGCCCGCGAGGAAGCTCTCAGAAATCTTCTCTTCTTCCACATCCCAAGTCGCCGAAGAAAATTTATAGCAATCGTCTCCACCAATTTGCCATCTTTTATCCTCATACATAATAATAAATAACCCGACGAACCATCTGTATACTACCTTCTCTTCCTCTTCTTCCATTGCGACAATTCTTCTCATTTCCCATAGATCCGTCCTCTCTACCTCACAGCCATCATGATGTTGGCCTCAAGATTTTCCAGAGCTGTAAGTCAAACTAATACCCCACAATTTCCGAAATATTTGCACACAACACGCGTGACTAACCACGATTCTATTCAACAGCTTCCTCGAGCAACTCCCGTAGCTGCGCGATGGGCTGCGCCTATGCGAAAGCCTTTAGGATCTAGCTTCGCTCGATATGAGTCGACGGAAGGAAAAGTTCAAGGTGCCGTCATTGGTATCGATCTTGGTAAGATTGAAACCCCCACTACTATGTATGTCGAGGAAATTTGCTAACATAATTTTCTAAAGGTACCACAAACTCGGCGGTTGCTATTATGGAGGGCAAGGTGCCCAGGATAATTGAGAACGCAGAAGGTGAGATACCCTGGTTGGCGCATATCTTTGCGACAGTATACTGACTATCAGTCAAGGTGCTCGAACAACACCCTCTGTTGTTGCTTTCGCACAAGACGGCGAACGATTAGTTGGTGTCGCTGCTAAGCGACAGGCTGTCGTCAACCCTGAAAACACACTCTTTGCCACTAAGCGATTAATCGGACGAAAGTTCACTGATCCCGAGGTTCAAAGAGATATCAAGGAGGTTCCTTACAAGATTGTTCAACACTCCAATGGCGATGCTTGGGTTGAGGCTCGAGGCCAGAAATACTCTCCGTCGCAGATTGGTGGCTTTGTCCTTAACAAGATGAAGGAAACTGCTGAAGCCTACTTGGGCAAGCCGGCCAAGAACGCTGTCGTTACTGTGCCCGCTTACTTCAACGATTCGCAGCGTCAAGCCACCAAGGATGCCGGTCAGATTGCTGGTCTTAATGTTCTCCGAGTTGTCAACGAACCTACTGCCGCTGCTCTAGCTTACGGTCTAGAAAAGGAGGCCGACAGAGTTGTTGCTGTGTATGATCTTGGCGGTGGTACTTTCGATATCTCGGTTTTGGAGATCCAGAACGGTGTTTTCGAGGTCAAGTCGACAAACGGTGACACTCACTTGGGTGGTGAAGATTTCGATATTCACCTAGTCCGCCACATCGTACAGCAATTCAAGAGCGACTCCGGTATTGACTTGTCCAACGACCGAATGGCGATCCAGCGAATCCGAGAAGCTGCTGAAAAGGCCAAGATTGAGCTGTCTTCGTCTCTCCAGACCGATATCAGCCTACCCTTCATCACTGCCGATGCTTCCGGCCCCAAGCACATTAACACCAAGATGACTCGGTCCCAGCTTGAGAGCATGATGGACCCCTTAATCAAGAAGACCACCGAACCCGTGCGCAAAGCCCTTAAAGATGCTGGTCTACAGGCCAAGGATATCCAGGAGGTTATCCTTGTCGGTGGTATGACTCGCATGCCCAAGGTTGCCGAGTCGGTTAAGAGCATCTTTGGTCGTGACCCCGCCAAGTCTGTCAACCCTGACGAGGCCGTTGCCATTGGTGCTGCTATCCAGGGTGCTGTTCTGTCTGGTGAGGTCAAGGATCTTCTACTTCTGGATGTCACACCTCTTTCCCTCGGTATCGAGACCCTCGGTGGTGTGTTCACCCGATTAATCAACCGAAACACTACTATCCCTACCAAGAAGTCCCAGGTCTTCTCCACTGCTGCCGACTTCCAGACTGCTGTCGAGATCAAGGTGTACCAGGGCGAGCGTGAATTGGTTAAGGACAACAAGCTTCTTGGTAACTTCCAGCTAGTTGGCATTCCCCCGGCACATCGTGGTGTTCCTCAAGTTGAGGTCACATTCGACATTGACGCCGACTCCATTGTCCACGTTCACGCCAAGGACAAGAGCACCAATAAGGACCAGTCCATCACCATCGCGTCAGGCTCTGGTCTGTCTGACTCTGAGATCGAGCAGATGGTCCAGGACTCTGAGAAGTACGCCGAGGAAGACAAGGAACGCAAGTCCGCTATCGAGTCTGCCAACCGTGCCGATAGCGTCCTCAACGACACCGAGAAGGCCCTCAACGAGTTTGCCGACAGACTTGACAAGACCGAGGCCGACGGAATCCGGGAGAAGATCACTGCTCTACGGGAATTCGTGAGCAAGAGCCAGTCTGGCGAGGGTACCGCTACCGCCGCCGAGATTAAGGAGAAGACCGACGAGCTGCAGATGGCTAGCTTGAACCTCTTCGACAAGATGCACAAGGCCCGCGCTGAGTCCGGCGAGTCCGGCAGCTCCGAGGCTGGTTCTTCGGAGGCCAAGCCTGAGGATGAGAAGAAGCCTTAAATACCCCGTTGTAGGCAAAAGCATTCCCGATTTACACCAATTACCCCCAAAGCGGGAATTATAGGAGCTTTTCAGTGCTCTACTACTGTACATTAACCTGTACTCATATTTACCGCCCCCCTAAAAAGTTTCCGCCTGCCGTTACATTACCCCTTTACTACCCTTTACTACTACGCACTTACTTACTCCTCGGCGGTGCCTCCATGAATTTGCGGGCGGGAGCGGCGTTCTGAGATCTGGGGAAAGCTATACTCTTTTTTTTTATACATTTTTACCTCCACGCTGAAGATATGTCTAATGTTTTCACGTCGGTTTCTGGTGACACGAAGGGCATTACATGGGCAGGCGGGCTCCGGCTGGAGTACTGTATATAGGACGTTACGACACGACTAAGGACAAAATAATAAAATGACATCCCCTCTCATGATTTGACTTGTAGATTCTATTATACCGTGATGAGATTTCCTATTATATATAGATGTAGGTAAAATTAAGCTTGACTTCATAATATCGTCCGGGTATACTCTAGTATAAAATCATTACTTGGCTTCGTAGATTTATGTCGATGTATTATGTGGCCACGCCGCAGAAGCCCTGGCTTTGACGTCTCGTGTCGGGATCCATCTGATTAACTAGCGTGACGAGATCGGATGGCCGCTCGGCTAAGGTGAGAAACATGCCGCCTATATAGACGTGCGGGATTTGGAATTAGTAAGTTGGTTACTTGCTTCTTTTTACTACTAGGTAGGTAGGTAGGTAGGTAAGTAGGTAAGTAGGCAGGTAAAAACTCACCCTCGACGTGCCACGCAACATGGCAATGCAGGGCCCAGAGCCCCGGGTTATCGGCGGCGAAGCGCAGGACGACGTGGTTGAAGGGCGGGACGGTGACGGTGTCGCGGCGCATCGGGTTCGCGAGGTTCCAGGTCGTGGAATCGGTGCTGCTGCTGCTGCTGCCGAAGAGGCCTTGGCCCCAGCCGACGAGTTGGAAGGTGTGGCCTGTGGTGAGGGGGGATCGGTCGTATGTGTTAGGTTGATTTGGGGTTTATCGCTGGGGATTGTGTTGTTACGTACCGCTGTTGAGGGTTGGTTAGTTAGGTATATTGTAGACTTGGACTTTGAGCGTATGGCGATAGGAAGATAGAGAGAGAAAGAAGGGGGGAAAGGGGGGAAAGGGGGAGAGGGGAAGGGGAAGGGGGGCTTACTGCATGTGCCACGGGTGTTCCATCGCGTCAAGCGAGTTAATGACGATCTGAGCGCCTTGGTTGGCGTCTGGGATTAGTAGGACTTGCTGGTTGAGCCCGAAGTCCCAGCTATTATACGAGTTGGACCTGTCGGGTGTGAACTGTTGGTCTAGGGCTTTCCAGATGGTGGCGTTGGCGGGGAGGGGTAGGTAGGAGGTCTATTCGTGGGTTAGTTATGTAGGTCAGGTTAGAGATGTTTGTTGATTGTTGATTGGGCTCTTATGTTGTAAGACTTATAAGGAACGGGAGTGGTTGGTCGAGTGATATAGAGAAAGGTAGGTAAGTATAGAGAACTGACTTTATTGACGAAAATGCGATTGACCTCCTGCGCCTGGCGAAACGCATACTCGAGATAATGCGTATTTGCCTCGCTTACGTCCACCGCGGCTTGTTTTCGCATCGGTTTTGGCATGTCGAATGGCATATCATCGCATCCCTCCCACACGTCTCCCCTAGACCCGTTGTTCTCGACGCCATACGGGTTCGACGTATTTCCAGCAACCCCAATGGCCTCAAGTACCGGACTATCATCACGATCGCCTGCCTCCCGCTCACTACCTTCGAAATATGATATCATCCCCCTAACCCCATACCCCGCTACCTCGAGCCCCGAGCTATTATACGGCGCGTACGGCAGAAAACACGTCTTCGGCAGCGAAGCACGCACGTAGTAGCTGCCGGGCTCCTGGTCTGCGGTTAGGATCACAGAGGCTCGCTGTCCCAGGTTTAGATACACGCCGCGGGCAGAAATAGGCTCGATTTCGACGCCGTCTAGCTCGACGATGGATATCGTGTGGTTGTCGATGCTGAACCAGTACGATAGGAACGAGGAGGCGTTGATTAGCCGTAAGCGTGCGGTCTTTCCACGGCGTACTTTCGTCGTGTAGAGTTGTCCGCCCGTGCAGGTATTTTCGAAGGGCTGGTCTGCAGATGGTGCGTATGTGGTTGATGTGACGGAGCAGTTGTATGTGTTCTGCCCGTTGAGCAGGACGTTATCGGCTAGTGGCTCGACGCCTGATTCCCAGTCGACCCATTTCGACGTTGAGTTGAGGTAGCTTTTTAATATCTATATTAGTCCGAATACCCGAAGTTCGTGATTAGCAAACAACTCTAGGACAGATCTAATATTAAGGGGGTGGGTAGCCTTACAACGGACCCGTAGGTGTGATATACATCCGACACAAACAGGAGCTTCTCGTCGTCCGTCTTAGGCACCAGTTCTCCAGGATCGCGTATAATCTATATTTCAATTAGACAATAGCCTTATACACAAGGACTTGTACTCCTAACAATTGCCCCATAAGCACCGTCGCTATACTGCACCGACGAATGCGCATGCCACCAAAACGTGCCCCTCTGGTCCACTACCCGGAATTCATACGTAAACCCCTGACCGGCCGGGATCCCACACTGCGAAACGCCCGCTACGCCGTCCATCCACGGCGTGCCGATCTGGTTCATGCCATGCCAGTGTATCGACGTGCTACTATTCGTCATATGATTATTAACCCTTACCCGAATCGTATCTCCCACATTCGCCTCTATCAGCGGCCCCGGAGACTGTCCATTCACCAACACCATCGGTTTCCGGAACCCGTCCGGCGCAGCCAGCGCCACCGACACATTGAACTCGAACTCGCGGACCCGAGGCTCGCTCGAAGCGGCAAAGTCTGTATCCAGCTCGAGCTCCCGCTTATTGATAAGCCTCTCTATGGGAACGACGTCAAGGTTCTCGGGGATACCGTAGCGGATGCTGTAATTAGACAGCAAGGGCAATGGTGTGGTATGGAGGGCTCTATATCGGGCACAGCCGAGCCCGAGGCCCAGACCTAACGTCAACGCTACGGCGGTAAAGCAGACGAGGGCCCATATGAAGAGACGCAGAGAGACTGTGTGGCGCGACTGGTTCTCAGTAATGAAAATGGGTAACTCGCTGGTGCTTGCCCACATCTTCGACGACTGTGAGGGATAGCCTAGCTGCGGGCTACTTTCGTACTTGTCAAACATCATTGGCCGACTAACATTTCTTGCAAGGACGCGGACTAACATGATGAGCTATGACGATAGAATTAAAAAATATCGCCAACTTTGGGAGATTCTAGGAGCTATTAAGGATAATTAGGGGCTGTGTTAATGGCAAGGGATATGGGAATTCAACCCTAGGAATGCACCATCTGCACTATCATAAACCGCCCTTTAAGATTAGTGCGCTACCCCTTCGTTAACCCCTAGGGATACAGTCACAAAAACGAAAACGTAGCAAGGAGATGTGATATTTAATCCAATGTCTTATATGAATTGCTGACTTATGGTCTACTTCACGTAGGCATTAGAGGATAACAGGCTGGTCTGAACTATCTTCCAAACCCGAACCATCCTTTCTTCTGCGGCTGCGCCGGCTGTTCCGGCTTCTGCTCGGGCTCGGCGGCGGGAGCGGCAGCCGGGACCTTTCCAGGGTAATCTATGTAATTCCAAGCAACATCGAAGAATAGAGGCTTCACGGGAATAAGATTTACCTTGGGTGGGAACTCGACAAGATTTTCCAAGTTGACACCCTCCGCTGGGTACTCGAATAAGCGTTGCACGAGCGGAGCTCTTGCGCCTGGCGGGGTCGCATTGGTCGTCTTTTGCCGTAGATTATCTATTTCAACAATCGCTCGACATTTCTGAAGCTCCCCTTTTAATAGGTTGCGAAGGAATTGGATATCGCCTGGCCGGATTTCTATGTTACGGGGCGAGGACTCTGAAGAAGAGGCTTCCTGCTCGGAGAAAAACGCGGCTGATTGCTCACACTCGTCAAACGCGTGCTTGGTGAGAACCAAAGCATTGCGCGATTGGTTGGTTAGCGAGTGCGACCTTGCAATGGAGAGAGATCTATATTGTCTATAAGCATTCGCGCAAAAATATGAATATAAGAACTGTGGATACTGACTTGAGGGCATAGAAATATCTAGCAGTTGCGCTTAATTGTTCTGATAAGTCTCTATCAGCTGCAACGCCAGGTAATTCTTTAATCGACTCAATGCTCTGCAGCGTAGAATCGTAAAGTACAACTTTGTCTTTGAGCCGAGATATCTTCCTGCCGGGTGGCTCTATCTTCGGTTTTCGAGAGCTGGCGTCTTTCTTGGATTTTCGAGTAGTTGTAGGAGCCGAGTCTAACAAAGCTCCGTCGTGCTCTCCACTCAAGACTCGGTTGCGACCAATTCTCCAGCTGATAACCTGGTAGTTAACCGCGGTGCGAGTTATCTGTAGACTCTGTATTCGGGCATCGTCCTGGGATACGCCCTCCTCCTTAAGTTCGTCAATAGCGTGTTTGGTGGCATCTACCGCATCCTGACTAGCTATGAGCACTTCATCGTACGCAGCAGCCATCTCTTTTGGTAATATAACGTCGGAAGATGCCAACTTCTCCGTCAATCGTGCGGTTGCTGTGTCTATCGAGGCCAGCGCAACAGCGATAGCTGCATCCTCGATCTTGACTTCTCGGGACCTCCATGTGATGGTCTGAGGGGCGTTCGGGGCACCGACTTGGCCCTTTTGAGCATCAGAATCGCTCTTATTAAGTAGGTCCGGGGCTAATTTATTTATTTGCTCGACCAAAGCAGAGTCAGAAGAAGGGAAGGCCTTTCTGGCGATGGTCGGTATCGTCTGGATCCTTGAAATTTTAGTCTGATAGGCCGCATATCGAATAGAAGGGTCGATGGTTTCCGACAACAAGTCTTTAAAGGTATCCCCCTTCATAGACGTAGCAAGCGCTGTATATATGATGCGAGCGGTCGCATAACTCTGTAGACATGGCTCCCAGCTCTGTTTTTCGAATTGGGTGGCGCCTCGTATCATAGAAGCATACGCACGTGCTTCTAGGATATCAGTATCGCTAGCCCCTGTCACAGAGCTTTCGGATAATATTTGTACGAGATATTCAGCGGCGCGGGCACCTTTAACAAGTCTCGATATGATATGGGAGCGGGTTCTGCCTGTAATGCCTTTGGTATCGGTGGAGTGAACGGCCTTGAACCTCATACCATGTGCCCAAGCACGTTCGGCCGTCAACAATTGTAGATGAAGGTACCTCGTTTTCGTCAGCGATATTTAAAAAAAAAAACTAATAGGCCAGATTGCGCATACTCGTGATTCTCCGACAGGTTCTCGGCCGTGATAGGGTCTTTCTTGGTAAACTTGTTGCGGCTCTTAGTAGCAATATTCAATCTCTTCCGACATTTATGTAGCTTCTTGACCAGTTGCTTGTGGTAAGTAGTATAATCGCCATATAAAAGAGCCTGGTTTCTAGCGGAAACCACAAAATTAGTGATATCCATGATACACCAAAATTATTAAGGCGACGACGGGTAAATTAATGTAAGGTATGCAGTGTTGAGGGTTGAAATCCAATATACGTCTTTGGTGGATTAATGATTGAATGTGGTGGGGTTTTTAGTTTTTAGGCTGGGCCAGCTTTCAATCTCCAATGCTCAAAATTCAGTTTGACGTGGGGTACCAACACTACCAACTTAAAAGCTTACCTAATGACCTAATACTTGTGGCTCAAGTGGGGCAGATTAGCGATAAACCTTGAAAAAATATACGCCAAAAAGCAAAGCCAGGTCCTTATCGTCTCCGAGGTGATATAAATTTTATTTAAACCCAAAATTACATCTTTTTTATATCGTGATCTAAGCTAGACATGATGCTCAATCTCTACTACTTATAACTTATACTTGGCTATTCTACATATATGATATATGATATATGAACTAGGGATAGATACTATATGAGTCTAGTATAATTAGACTACAGTACGAGATGCTGTATAGTAAGTACCTAATAATTTCTTCAAGTTGATATCCTAATAGATTTGCGCCAGAACCTTGGAAGCTCTACAACTTTGAACTGTTAGGTACTCTTTAACTATACACACTCACTTCCATGAAACTACAGTTATAAGCTGTTGTTTTAGGCGGGTACTGCTATAATCCATACCCCTCCCGATGCTGGAGAAGACGGCCGCCAGTTTGGAACCATGCGGTTTCCATCGAGTAGTTCCCGGCGCCACCCAGTCTTTTCGGACTTCGAGGCAGCTTCGAAACGCCTTCTGGCAGCACGGGGCCGCTGACATAGAGCTTACCGCCGCCTGGCAATCTTTGATGCATGGTACTTTTAATCTTACCATGAGCTCTGTACCCGAAGAGAATAATGGTTCCGTCCTGAGCGCTTCAGCCTTTCTTCTCGATTTTCTATATCCAAGCGGTGCCATGAATTTGATGCGCCGCCTAACTCCAGCCGCACCCGTCTCTGGCCGTCCTGATAGCTTCCGTTATGGGCATCCTTTCGGGAAAATTATGCCTCGCCTATATACGTCGTCGCTTTCCAAGCGCCAGGTTCGCAATTCCGGATCCGAAGCCACCGCTGACCCGAAAGCAAACGAACCCGATAGCAGCGTATCGGTTAACCCAGATGACGTCACCTACAATGACAGTAAGACGATAGGACCAGGCAGAATTCGGGGTGTAGCTATCGAGGATATGGATGAGGAGGGCAACGTCCGAGTTAATGAGAGACAGGCACAGTCTGATGTCATAACGGACAGTCTTAACCATTTAGATATAGACGGCGATCATATTACGATTCTCGAGGATTTGTTGAAGAAGAGCGACTTTGAAGATGCCGATCGTGTTTGGTATAACTATAAGGCCTTAGATGAGCCGTCCCAGGCCAATTACATACGACAAGTGCTACTCTTTCTCTCAAAAAGTGACCGATTATCTGCCTCGTGGAAAGTTTCGGAGCTTTTCCACCAAATACCTCTATCACAATGGACCAACCAGATATTCGTCGCGGGCGTTACGGCCGAAATTAGCCTACAGAATGCTAATCGAGCGCTTGAAATATTCACTAAAGGGCTGGAGCATAGTGCTCTCGATCTTCCCCCCTTAATCGATTCCCTCGATTTGCTACTCGCTACAGCGTTACGGTCATCGAGGCTGGAGCTATTGAAGGATTTATGGATACTATATCCCAGGATGACAACACGATGGGACTTTGAAGATATTTCGTCGCATTTAAAAAATGCAGCTCATTCTTCTCACCTCTCCGTATTAACGGATATACAAAAGTATTACCCCGATATGACTGGGAGATGGAATTTTGAGGGTATAACGTCACAATTAAAACATGTCGCTCTCGTACCTGGCCTTGCTGAAAAAGCCTTCGACTTCGCGGCCACTGGTCGGCGAATACTTGAAGAAATTGACGGCGCTAAGTTTAGTCGGGAGGCGCTGGACTCACTCCAGAGGATTCTAGTCCGCAGGGCTCTTTTGTCGTGCACTGACGCTCAAGTTATCCCTCTGCTCAGCATAACGAAAGACCCTCTAGCTTTTGAGGAATTTTTACGAACGGTAGTCTACAGAGGAAAGGAACAGCTCGGTATCGAGGTATATCGTATCTATCGCGATTCACCTGGGAGCATGCCGAGTCACCCTGTTCTTCACGAAATGTTCAAGGCCTATAATAACCTAACTGTGCCAGTCTCGGTAAAGTACGCTGGGATAGAAATGCTATGGGGCGATTGGCATAAATTTCATACCATTCCTTCTTACAGGGCATTTCAGAGATACTTGGCTTTCTATGCGTCTCGGGGGGACACAGAACCCGTCTACAGGATTTGGCGTACGTTTATCGAAGTGTACCGCGACGACGCTAAACTTCCTGCCCTTCGATCCGACGATATATTTGCACACCTCATGCAGGTGCATGCCGTTCGAGGTGAAGTTATCAATACGCAGCAGATCTTTAATGATGTCTCGAAGTTATTCCATTTAGAGAATAGTACACACCACTGGAACATCCTTCTTAACTCTTATGTTAAGGCAGGTGATTATGATGAAGCGATATCTACCTTCGAAAACTTAGTGGCAGCGGGAAAATGGGACCGTTACAGCTTCGGGACGATGATGCAAATGGCGGGTGATAGGGGCGATCTAGGTTTTACAATTGACTTATACCGCCAATTATTGAGTCTTGGCGGGCAGGCAGACGCGGCCATCCTTGGTGCCATCGTCGATGCGTACTGCCGGAATGATCATATGCAGTCCGCTGAGGACGTATGTGTTCGCGCTGCGAGTAAAGGGATTGTTGATACCCAAATGTGGAACAAGCTCCTTTACTACCACGCCATTCGTCGTGACCTTGCTGCCATCAATAGACTTCTTACTCTTATGGCTGACAAGGAGATCCCTTACAATTATTACACCTACCAGCAGTTACTTATAGGTCTCTCTATATGTCGACAATCTCACCATGCTTTAAATCTTTTGACGGCGGCTTTGAGGGAGAATATTTTCACGGTTACCATCGAGCACTTTCATATTGTCATGGGTGCCCTACTCGTGACGGGAGATCCTGGGGCGGTCCTGCGGCTCGACAAGCTGATGCAGGACTATGGGTTTCCCAGCTCATCCGATAGTCTGTTCCTATTAACACAAAGGCTTGGGCAATTTAGGAATCTACCACCGTGGCAACGAGCCCGTTTAACCCCGACGGAGTGGCTTGGCGAAGCGTTCCGTTCATTTTACAGAATATACGGTTTACAACACCGAAAGAAATTAGACAAATTAATACCTGGGCGTCTGCACAGCAAAGCAGGCGAGCTGTTGCAGCAGAATACAGAGAAGTCCCATTTTAGTACTATGGTCTCCATGCTAACCGAGCTCAAAGACTTCGCCGGGGCTCGGGAGCTTGTCGACCTTTACCGTTACATTTTCCAAGGCGAGGAAGACTTGGGTGGAATTTTGCCTGGGACGATGCTCAATTCTCTTATGCGTGCGGATTTCCAAGAAGCGCGTTACGATCGTGTTATTACGACATGGGAGCTGCTCTTCGAAACTGCAAAGCAGGAAGCACGGTCAGCCGATTACGTCGAAGATCTTCCTCACACGCCAAAAGTCTCGGCTAAATATCGATATGTACTATCAAGTGGTATTATGATCATGCAGAAGCTATTCTTCGAAAAGGGAGATGCCGCCAGCATCCGGAATATGGTTCGGGAAGTTCGTGAGGCAGGATTTGAGCTAGACAGCCAAAACTGGAACTACTATATACAAGCACTTGTTCAGTTGAAAGATTACAAGGAAGCATTCACTACCTGCGAAGAGCTTCTGATGCCAAACTGGACTGGATGGTTTCTAGTACGCCATAGAGAAAGCGTGAAAAACAAGCTACCCCTAGACCTTCGGCGAAAAGGATCAAGCCCGCGACATCTCCGGCCCATCGCTACGACACTGTATCACCTCACGCGAGGCTATATGGAATTAGACAGGCTCAGCGTTTGGTCTTCAGAATTTGCTGCGACGTTCTATGAGATAGAAAAGGAGTGCGTACAGGTAGTCCGAGCTATCAAGTCGATGACACGGCTGCGTTCGCGCCACGAGTCGTCAATCATAGGTGAAGGTGACTCCTTCGATGTTGATTCTATCGGTTCAGATGTAGACGGGGATATCTGGCCGGAAACAGAGGAGTAAAGAGCCTCTCTTCAGGATAGACATAGGTAGATGTATATCCTGCTGTATATATGTAACTATTAAATATGTGCAATGACTAGACATACCATACTCACTCTATAGATGATAGACTTACTAATGAATGATGCCGATACATTTCCTTGTTCGTATGGTTAGTAAAATAAGTCCTAGATAAGCCGTATTAACAGGTAGGTAGATATCTAATGCATACATTATACGTAAATCACAGCTATGCATGGTATATCTCAACGTATGCTTACCTAATAAAATAACCCCTGGTTAGCTCGCCATGCTTCCCGCTCTTGACAACACGAAGGGCGCACCGGGGGTGATAAACCCGGCCGTAATAACATACTTGCCTCTATATCCGCGATAAATAAATAGAAAAACCTGAATATGTCTTACATATAACTAACTAACTAGCTGAGGAAACATAAGGAAATACGAGCAAAACTAAAAAATACCGGCGCCGTCTTCACTTATTTACGTCTAACTACCTAGCTAGCTAAATCCTTGCGACTTCTTTTGCGCGGGTACCTATATATACTAAACTCGACTCGACTCGACCCAACCCGGAGTCGCTGTTATTGTAGCGCCGCCGGGAGGACGAATTATGGCGCTTCCGTTCCCGCAGCCGTCGGATTTGTTGCCGGGGGGGTTTGTTATGGCCCGGTGTGCGCCGGAGGATACGTTGGGGATGGCTTCTGTTTGGTGAGTCACGGGGAGTGTTTTTTTTTTTCAAGTTGATGATATACGTTTGTATGTGTGTATGTTGGATTATCTTGCTAATTATATGATATAGTGAGTTTATTTTATATATATTTCAAGTTCTTCGTAACCCGAGTATGGGGTTTAAGCGGTTTCTGCCGTGTAGCGTATACGGGCATCGTTAGAGGTCTATGTAAATATCTGTCTGCATACCTACCTACCTCAAGCCAAGGGACATCGTCTTCATCAAGACAACCAACCAAGCAACTAACTAACTAACTAACTAACCCCCCACAACCAACACAGTCATAGATGCCTTCTCCGCCAGCCCCGAGTTCACATACTGGTGGTCGCCATCCCCCGACGTCATGCGCGCGTGGCACGCGTCCCGGATCCGGGGGCGTTTCGGCGACCGGGCCACGCAGCAATTTAAAATCGCGGATGCGTCTTCCGGCGCGGTCGTCGCGTTCGCGAAGTGGGACCCGCCGAGCACGATGGAGGGGCTGCGGGAGGGGTTTGTGGTTTACGATGGGGAGGGGAGGGAGGTTGGGCTGGAGGGGAAAGGGGAAGGGGGGGAGGCTGTGCAGAAGAAGTTGTTAAAGGCGCCGGAGGGGGCGGATGAGAAGCTGTATGAGGAGTTTTTCGATGGGCTGAAGACTATGGGGGAGAAGTGGCGGTCGCATGAGAAGTTGGGTATGTGAGAATATTTACTCCTCCTTACATTTACCCCCCTTTCCTCTCTCTCTCTCTGCCCCATCACCCTTTCCTCTCTTCTATTATATATCCCATCCCCTATCCCAACACACACCTCCAGACCTCATACTAACAACAACCCCAACCCCACAGTCCTCTCCATAATCTGCACCGATCCCTCCCACCACGGCCGGGGCATCGCCACCTCCCTGATCCGCCCCGTCCTCGCTCTCGCGGACAAAGAGCGCATCCCCACGTACCTCGAAGCCCTCCCCCTAGCCGTGCCGCTGTACCAGCGCCTCGGCTTCCAGCCCGTGGACCGGCTAGAGTACGACTTAGCCAAGGCGGGGAGGCGGGGGAAGGCCGTGCTGACGATTATGGTGCGGGAGCCGCAGTCGGCGTGAGTGGGTGTGTTGCTGGCTTGGCAGGTACTTGACCTACCCAGGCTTACTCTTCCGGATCAAGTTCGGTGGGATGTGCTGGTTGGTCAGTTATTCGAGCTTGGCCTTGGTTTGACTGTGGGGCGCATATGTGTAGGTAGGTATGTATGTAAGTATGAGATGTCTCAGGACAAGCCATGGCTCGTCGACAGGAATTATTCGTGTGCTGATGGGATTGGATATTGGACATTCCGAATATGCAGCTCTTAACCCCGGGATAGAAACCTTGGCAGGGGAGCTTGATATTACGTAGTTCCTATATTTGCCATTATTATAACCCAGACGAATGCCCTCTTAGTTTTATAGCCAGGCCACTTATATGGTCCTAGACCATATTCTTCGACTTAAGGCTATGTGAAATTATAGTGACCTTTATGACATTATCTCCATTTCATAGTGGTTATTTCACGTTAGTTACTCTCTATACTTACCATATCTAGCTCTAGAAATGCAATAGCCACATTTACCTAGTATAAAGAGTCCGTATATTATTCATAACGCGAGGTATATAGGACACTACTGTAAATAAATATCCCGTTTATAATAGCCTATCAAACTCCGCATAAATCTGTGTTATGAGAGCACAAACAGGTAGCTTACCTAGCTGTTAATAACGACTTTTGTGCGCGGATCCGTCTGTACGGGCCCTACAGCATTGTATGAAAAGGGGAAAGGGGAAAAGGGGCCAAAGAACATAAAACACAAAACAGAAGGGGACACATGTGCGTGTTATCTCTCTAACCTAACTTACTCAACGCACAATTCCGGCACCACCAATGGGTGTGTAGGACAAGTCGCAGCAGTCCGGTAGCCAACCGTCTCCGTCGGGGAATTTCTCATTCCCCAAGACCAGGTCACGCTATACTCAGACGCAACCTTAGGCTACGTGCGGCATCGCCAGCACTCTCTTCCCGGTGCCTGGAGGCGCTGGCGGGCGCTGATTCGATCGCGTCCACGCCGTCCCGCGCGGAAGGCCGCAGAAACCTGCGGCCGCGCTTGCCTGGTGACCATGTTCCATATGTAAGTAGGTATTCCCATGCAAGGAGTTAGTTCATCTGATAAGTCAGAAACAAGAATATGAGGGGCGTAGGTAAGGCAAGGCAAGAAGGCAAGGTAGGGGATTAAGTTGCTTTGCTTGGCGATAATATACTCGTGCGCACGTGGCCTGGCTATACGCCTGCGTACATATTTATCTCTGGGTGGTTTTCGTCATGTGAGCTGCTCGAGATATGTCGTGCCTAGCATTTATTCGGGATGTTTTCCCTTTCTTGGTGCTATAGAAGAAAGTAGAGAGTAAGGAGGAGTATGTATAGGATAGATGAACGGACGTTGGACAAGTCCAGCAAACAGAGACAATCAGATAAGTTATTTTCATCTACCATCTCTGACCGAAGGCGGGACTCGGTGGGAGCTACCCATTTATACGCATGAGAGATCGTCGACTCGGTAGGTATCATCATATCATGAGTCTCTGTCTTTATGACTCGGGAATGGTGATCGTTGATCGTCAAATTACTTATATTCTATCAAATATCGATGATATGCAATTAAGAATAAACGGAAATATTTATGCGCCTATTTAAACCGGTTCTTATGATGATGTACAGCAATCTGAAATGATCGACGGGCTTAAGAGGTGGATCATAGAACTAAGGGGTTGAGGCAGTTCGGAGTTGTTCGTACATACATGTATGTATGTAAGCTCCAACATGCCTTTGACGTTATTTAGCTGGCCGTGTTGTTGGCCACGTCGCATTGCGATCTGGTTTCGTATTTTCGCCATAGGATTCGCTGTCTATATTCTACGGATATTCCTTTTTCTTGGCGTTATTGATCTATGGATGACTGAGCTTTGGGGTCTTAAGATCCAGATCGGATATTATTATCCACTAACCGTGCGCTCCATCACACTATTGTTAATACCCGTTGTGGCATCGGTCCGCTTAACTTTGATAGTAGATCCGAGTAAAATCTTATATTAAGCTGTCCCGATCCCGATGTTTTTGAGTTTTGGTTTTGCTTGGAAATATGCAAAGTTATCGTGTACTATGTTCTACTTGGATAAGTACCGAAGGTATGATATAAAAATCAACTTTAATTAAGAATCCCCGTTAGCTCATGGTAGTTATCAGATGATATGCAAAGAGTCTAGTGAAGGACTAGGAACTCAATGTTGCGTCTTTACAGCCGACCGGGAGGCACTAAAATCTAGATGGTAAATATTAGGTATAATTTTATAGACAACGGCAGGAACATAATAACACGCGAGAAGGCTTGTACATAGTACGCGTTGGTTCTAGGCACAATCTCACTACACTCTCATCATGCGGTCCGAGACATAACCAGCTGCCTCCGTTATTAGGTAGATCGACAATTCAGCCTAGGTACCTGAGATGGTAATTGCATGTATAGTGTGAGTAGACGTCGAAATGAAAGGGGTCAGGGGCCTTGACGTGAGGACGAATAGAGAAACAAACTGCCAAAATTATAATTCCCATGTGGGTTGGCTATCCCACATTGCGACGAGTAGCTGCGCTTGCATCCACTTCCCCGGGACCGACTAATAATAAAAGGTAACATCGAGAGAGTTGACAATAGCTGTCATCCATGCTTGATGAGGCGCACCCGAGATGATGTGTATATGCACGCTGCAAGGGCGGGTTGATGATACAATCGCGACCTGCTGGGTTGACAAGGGCTGAGGTTCGGATGGTGGTAAGTCTCAAGTGAGTGGTGGCACAGGATGAGCAATCTTGAAACGGCGCGATGTGTTGTAAGCGATCCGCCGCCAATCTAATCGGTTGTTCTTTATTTACACATTAGGATATCGACCCTGGACCGATCCGGGGACGTGTTGGGATAGACCATGCGCTCTATTATTGCGCAAGGCAAGTTGGACGGATAATGGGACGACAAACTTCCAAGGTTGATAATAACGTCCTTCTCGTAATAACGACTTAAAAAAGAGCTGCCTGTCAAGTTTGACACTTTCTAGGATACCTTACCGAACGCCACCTCTCAGGGGTCTTATTTCAACCCCATAACATCCAGTAAAGAGACAGCTAATGTAAGAGCCAACTGTTGTGATATGATCATGGAAATAAATTCGTAGATTCGGGATTTGAGCACGATCAGGTGCACCTAAAACCGTTGCATAATTAAGAATTTCTTGTTTTGCTCAAGGTAAGATATCGCATGGCGTAAGCAGATCATCCTCGATGCCTACTTCTTGTAGGCTTACGTAGACTTCTAGAAAAGAATGATGGGATAGGGTGATGTCAACATGGCGCATTTCCCGAAGAGGGTAGAAGATGTCGAATAATTTGTCTGAATCGTTTCGTGGCTGAATGAGAGCGTCCCATGTTCAATTTGAAACACGTTTTAGCGCGCCTGAATGGGTCTTAACTCGCTATCCCCTGTCTGCTAAACCCAGATCAACGCCGGGATTACATTGCGTGGCTGCGCACGGAAGAAACCGCTATGTATTTCAATGTAATACCCGAAGCCACCGACTAACCTAGGAGCTTGTAAGTAAAAAAAATTAGGTTTGAATGCTTCGTGACGACGAATGATCATCAGACGTATAGAGAAAGGGCGATACTATATTATATTTGAAGAGCTTTTTGGGACTATGTAAGCCCGTGGCTGTTCCTCTGTCTCGTGTCACAGAACAACGCGTTCCCCGGGTTGATGCAGGTAGATGATTCCTTTTGTGACTCTCGAGGAAAAGCCACCGAATGCCATCTGAGGAGAAATGATATTATGGGGAATCTCTGCAGTGCCGATCTTTAGGCATTGGGCTAGGCTAGACCGCCTTTAAGCAGGTACCAAGACTTCGTACGTAGCACAAAGTCCGCCACGTTCCTGTACAGAACATCGTTAGTATTGAAGCGGTCTCAATGGACCGACAATGCATTGTCCTATTATGTGCGTGTTTGTATACGAGGACGTGCTATGCGAGGGCATGAAGAATCGGATTGAAAGCATAGCTGCTTAAGAGCGGATTCCGATGCATGAGTCGTGCCGTAAAAGAGCGTAAAAGAGACAAGTCATCTTTATTCTACATTGCCGCTATAGGAGTATAGCCTATCTGTTTGACAACTAGCCATTAAGCTATAGATATTGAGGTTAGGATGCAGCTAACGGTAGAAAGGATTCCTTTTCTTACCAAATGCATAGACAGACTACCTGGACCCGTTTCGTGTTGCTTCCTACTGTTCTTTAATAGTTAACCTATTAGGAATTATCAGACAACAAAATGCGATTCAATTACTTGCATTTCAATTGCTATGCATAAAAATAACAACTGAAGGGATAAAGTAATTATTGGTAAATAAAGGTTAGAAGAATGGAGAAGGGAAAATGGAGGATGCTTTTTAATATTCATGTAATGAAGTGGTAACTATACTAGCTAGAACTTCTAGTTAATGTAAATAGCGAGGAGTTTATGTGTGTTGGTTTGACTTACCCTTTAGAAATGACGGTCACAGGACGTATTTGTGAGGGTAAGAACAAACGTCCACTATAGGAGAACTAGGCATGCAGGTAGATGCGCTGTTCTTCAGCCCTATTAAGCGATCATGTCGCCTCAAATTCTAGAATAAGTCAGCATGCAACACACTCTTCCTTAGCTTGTAGCTTGTGAACGATAAGATTTCTTAATTTACCTTCATCTCAACTATCTTATTGCTATCAAAGTTAAAATTGCTACCTTTATTATACAAGTATACTTCTATATAATCCGGTTAATTTTAAGCTTAGGTGTCATAGTTCAGTCACGGTTACCGTTGTTTTAGGTTACCAAGTTGGGACCTTCCATCTCACGGTTGTCGGTAATGGAAGTATGCATATGAGGTAGTTAAGTATAAGTGTGTCTGTCCGTATTGGACCTGCCTCTGTCTAAGTCTAGATACCTTAGGTACCTTAGGTACTTATTATTAAGGTTGTCTAGTGTTTACCAGCGT